ACATTGAGCATCAAGAGGTCTTGAGGATAACAAGTTTGCAAGATATCTCAATTTTATCTTCAGTATTCTCTTCTGTGTAAGACTAATCTGCGACTCTTGATGCATTGCAGTGTCATCAGAACCTCATCAGGAATCAAGAGACTTGACTACATAGACTCTGATATATGAGGGTGTCAAGACATCAGTTCGATGTGAATGAGTTGTCTTGAGCATCACCTGGTCTTTAATTACTCTTGAAAGGATATATGCTGTAGCTTCATGGTTTTCCAAGGAGCTTGGAAATTTCTTGATAGGCAGAATCTAAGTCCAACAAATACTCGAGAAATGCTTAATTGAAGCAAGGATTAGTAGAGACGCTTAACCACATAGTGGCGTGCCAAAACATAAAAAAAAAGGCCGTGATACCAGAAATACGGTTTACCAAGTACTCAGTCATGTGAGTCCATAAGTGTGGCATTAACCCTGATTTCTATCTTCTGAATCTGGCTCTGGTACCTTACTAAAACGACCTTGTCGTAGAAAGAAGTCACGATACTTAGGATGCTGGATCGTTTGATACGTTGCCGACTTTTTGTTATTCACTTTGAGTCAAGGTCTTTCGCGAGTTTCCAATACAAGCACTTCCAATAGATAATCCATATAGGATTCTCGAGGAGGCAAGAAAACTTAGGATCTTTATCCTAAATAATGAAAAGACTTAAGGACGTTTAGTATAACTTAGTAGACCTTTAGATAAGTTATTTATGGCACCTTGAGTCTAAGGCGAGAAGTTTTCTTGCTCCCTGGGGATCCTGAATAGACCTTTACGATACCGTATAGTTGATCTAGTAAGTTGATCATGTTAATATTTTGCATGGCTCCCATTGTAGGAAGTTTTGTTTCAACAATAATACAGCCCGCTAAGGACATGGATAGTTATCCTTGACCCTGGGGAATCCTTGCTTAGCTCGTTGAGACGCATGACATCGCGAACTGTGCTGTCGAAAACACTGATGCTACGTTCCACAGGCAGTTCGAATGTTGAGATGGTTCGTTCATGCCATGAAAAGACACTACGTTCCTGGGGACAACGAGACCATGAAGATAAACAGACGAGAGTGATCAAAAGCTACTTGTCATTTCAAGTGGGGAAAAGAGTTGTACGATGACCTGGCAACGCTGTTGTCTGAAGGTGTATGGATGAGCATGTGAAGCATGAATGGCTCGCATACAGAATGCAACTAAGCAGCTGACTCGATGTCTTGTTTCTAGGTGAACACGAACTGACTCCAACTCGGACATTTATTAGAGACATAATTTAATGGCAATTCTCAGTAAAATAAGAGCAGTCTCAGAAACAATAGAATTGAAGACCCCGCTAACATCCAGTCCATGCCTAACCCTGCCACATGTTCATCGTGTCTCAGGGGATGAGTCCCCAGAAAGATGGGGCATCGTGGATCTGAAGACCCGACGATGGGGCTGACAATAGTTGGCAGAAATATAACGATCCTCTGTAAGTGTTGTTTCTCACAGTAATTGCCATTTCAATAGCCCCATTCTGTAATAAATGAGAAGTGAAGTTTGATACTTAGGTAGTTAATGCAATACTCCTCGCAAAATATATTCTATTGCACTGTACACTTCAAGTAGGACCCCTGCAGCTTGCGTCAGTAAGTGCTAACATTAGTGGCCTAACTCTCTCCAACTCCCCAACAATGGATCAACCCACATTGGGATCGTGCGAGGGGCCTTTGACTGATCCATCCGCTTCATGTGTATCGTGATTGGAGAATTACTCAACTGCCATCAGTCCGAGGCGGTGACTTCTCTATTGTTTTGATCTAAACTCACTCTACTCTACTCTACTCTGCTCTCACTCAATGGAGATTTAGTCGTCTGCCTCTCAACACCATCAATCAGACATCATGACCCACGACAGAGATACCCGTCGCGAGAGTCTTCGAGTGCCCCGCGCTCGTCCTCGTCGTGGCGTCTCCAGAAACTCTTCAGTGCGCTCTTCAGCCAACTTGGACGAGCACCGTCTGTCTTCAGGCGCCCCAGCTACTGCGCAAGCTCTTCGAGCTGCTTCATCTCGCTTTTCTCTCAACGAACAGTTCGCTGCTACAAAGCAGGAGTTTGAGTTCTGGGACGATGATGCTAGTTCGATCTATGAACGTGGAACGAGTGTTTCCGAGACGGGGGATCCAGAACTCGATGAGAAGGCTCCTTTAAGCTCAACTGAAGGCGGTTACGAACCCGTGCCTAATATCCAAGGCCCAGCACCTGGAGCAGAGGATCTGGACACCAATTTTTACGACCTTCTGTGTCTCCCACGAGACACTTCGGAGTTGTCGCAAGAGCAGATCCGGAGCGCATACTACCGTCTGTTTATCCTCTTTTACCCGGACAGCTATCCTGAGCATTTGCGCCCAATAGCTCACCAGCAATTCCTTCGTGTACAGGATGCTTTCGAAACACTCATTGATCCTGCGCGGCGAGCACAGTACGATCTAGACCAGTTCTTGGAATCTGAAGAGGCGGGCGCATCACAATCAGAATACGAGATCGCATTCAAAGAAGCTGTTTGGGACCGGCTACAGAATGGCATACAGAGAAGTTCTGATCTAGGCATTCGGCTCGATGCCTCTGGGTCGGGGAATGGTCCCTCGAGACTCCAAATTCTTGACTTTTCACTCAGTCATTCCGTCACAGTCGACCTACCAGCACTTCAGAAGCTTCTTCAGCCACAAGTCACACGACTGGCGAGTCTTGCTTCAAAGGAAGAGAAGGAGACAATCGAGAGTCCATCACAGCCTAGAATTCAAGTCGCAACGCCCACTGTGACTGTAACCGGATCTACTTACGGCATCTCACGGGATCTCTCCTTGGTGCCAACATCACTCTTGTACGATCGATACCAACCTCTGTTACCTCTGCCAATTACCAGACAGAGGCTTATACAACTCGTTGAGAACAAGTTCGCTCCATTGGCCACTCTGCGATATCGACAAGAGTTTCTGAACCGCTCACCTTCGTCGTCCCCTGATAAGTTTAGGTGGATCAAAACAGCTGTTGAGCTCGAGTCAGATGTTCTGCCAGAGTTCTCTGTCACCAGCCGCCTTTATCATCACTTTCTCCTCCCCAAATTCTCAGAGCCAACCATAGCCGAGGCTAGCATACAATCGTCGCGTGATTCATCGTCGATTCAACCGCGCGTTGCTCTAGGTCTCTACCAGAATCTGCAACATGGAACAGGCTTCCTACGCGCAGACAGTGGCGACTGGAGCTTTGGATCCAGTGAATACTCTCATTTTTTCTCTGAACACTCAAGGATTAGCCCAGACTTCTTTAACGCCGAAGCCCCTGGAGCAACCCCGAACTTCGAACTGGGCTTTCGAACAGGGCCATCGGATCGATTACCTGTACCAGGCTCGTCAGACTCTCCTGGCGACGAGGGTGGTATTAGGGGCCTCGACTACGAGATTAATTCTTGCAAGCATGGAAGCTGGGCTGTCTCTGCATCCGCTACACCAACTTCATTAGCGGGCGCCATACGATACAGCAGGGATCTAGCCCTACCTTTCCAAACTCCTCCGACATCTCTGGATCCGGGCCTACCTTCTGCAGCACGTGTAGAGGCAGAGCTCTGCTCTAACACATTCCAAGACCAATACTTCGCCCTTCGCAATCTTTGGTCTGTCGGCCGTTTTGCGCGTGTTGGTCTTGAAGTCGGTATCAGTCTACACAACCTTCACCTCTCCGTCTACTGGTCCCGCCTCGGCCAACGTCTGAGCCTCCCTTTGCTCATAGCACCACGATCACTTCTTGGATCTAGCGTTCTTTTCTGGGCTGGCGCCCTACCTTTCGCTGGACTTGCGGCAGTACAGCTTGGACTCAACTATCGTCGCCGTCAAAGAGTTCCACGATCTCATCGCCGCGTTCGCTCAGATGTCTCTTCCACTGGGACGCCAGTCGCCATTGCTCGACATAGATATGAGGCAGACAACGTCACAACACTCCTCGCACATCCAGTAGAGGGTCGCCAGAAGCGTCAGATGGCACTTGGTGGTCTTGTTATCCTCAATGCTAAATATGGTATCCCAGACGAATACGGCATCCTCGCAACAAGCGATCAAGTTGCCGACGTCACCATCGCCGTTGCTGCCCTCATCAACGAATCATCATATTCCAGCGGCCCAGCCCTATTTATCCCCCGTGGCGTGCGCAAGAGTCGCCTACCAGGATTCTGGGACCCTGCTCCGGGCTTGGACAAGATTCTTCGCGTGGAGTATTTGTTCAAGGGTGACGCGGGCGTCGTCGAAGTCGGTAGCCGTGATGAGCTCATACTTCCGCCCCAAGCCTAGGTATTGATTCACGCCCCTTTGTGAACGAGGAAATTGGAGTCATGTATTAAGTATAATCAAATGAAAAAGAGAGATCGGGATGAGATACACATCAAAGGAAAATGGCGTTCAATGTGGGAAGGATGGATGCATTTGAATGGCGCTATTGTATCACATTGAGGGTATTGCGAACGAATCCGCTTCGTAAAAGTAAACAAATAAACAGACATGCATTGTCGGCCATTACTATTTACACCTTCGGCGATGATACTATGTTATGCAGGAAAAGTTTGACTGGACGTTCTTACTCAAGAAATAGCACAACAGCGCCATGTGCGAGCCGTTCAAGGGCAGAGCAAAACGAGAACAGACGCTGTAAGACAAAGAAAATTCAATACGCGTGATACCTACCGCTATCTATCGTACAAGACAAAAAAAGGTACCATCTACCTCCCGAAAACCACATATTCTCGTGCCAACTGTTGCCCAACATAAGACGACCCTATATGAGAGTCTATCTTTCCACACGATAGAACGCCGAACCCTTTTTTAGTTTAAAGACCAAGGAGAAATTATCCGCTGTAGGTAGTAAAGAGAGAAATAGGTGCGGGTGCCAGGGGTCAAAACACCCTAAAAGCAAAGCCCGTGACAAAACCCGATGTGCTAGGTAGTTGATTAGTGCTGGTGGCCGTGGCCGTGGCCGTGGTCATGATTGTGCGCATGAGGGCTAGTGGCGCTGTGCGACGATTCACTACATCGTCTTGTTGACGAAGCCTTGGATGACGAATCGGCAGGGCAGCAACCCTGGGCCTGGCAGTCATCGATACACTCAAGGAGGCAACTATCACCCTTGTTGAGATCAGTAGGACCGTCGAAGGACAGAGTAGCGGCTTCGGCATCATGCGAGTGCTTCTGATCGAAGCAGAACTCGGGCTGTATGGTAGCGCTGTGAATGCCGAACCCATGGAGACACTTTCGAGCTCGACGAGCCAACTCCATGTACTTCTCGCCACTGTGAGAATCAATGGGGAAAGACACCTGGAGGTGCATGCTAGCGACAAGCTTGGTGTCTGAGAGTTGCCAGACGTGAATATGGTGGCAAGTAATAACGCCGGGAAGAGCTTCGATGTCTTGTCTAATCTCAGGGACGCTAATATGCTCAGGAGTGGCTTGTAGAAGAACACGGGCAGTGCCTCGGGTGAGAGGAATGCAGGTCTTGAGGATGATAGCAGTAATGAACAAGGAGACGGCGGGATCAGCGTAGACCTTGCCAGGCCAGTCCGTCAGCCAGATAATGAGAGCCGTGACCATGACACCTATGTTGCCAAGCATGTCTCCAATGACGTGGAGAATCATAGCATTCATACCCATATCAGCGTGGTTATGGCCGTGGCTATCCTTCTTGCCAGCTTTCTTGGGAAGAGTGTGGTGGTGACCGTGATGAACGCTCGAGTCTCGTCGAGGTCGTCGAGAGTGGGAGTGAGAGTGAGAGCCGTTTCTATTGTGACCAAGCGAAGAACCCTTCTTAGCAACGTCCTTGAGAAGAGGTGACTCTTCGTGCGCCTCATCCTCCTCCATTATCAAAGAGTTCTCGGCGTCGGTCTCGCTCTCGCTAGTGCTTTCGTTGGTCTCGCCACGCGTAGCTTCGATAATGCTTTGTCGGAAACTTGCTGGGTGAATGCTCAAGTCATCGAGACTAGCGAAACGAGCATGTCCACTCCTACTGGATCGATGATAGTCGCGGCCTCGTGTGGATGGATCTCGGCTGTGTCGCTGTTCGCTAGATTTGCCGTTAGACTTCTTAGAAGCTGTTGCACGGCGAATCACAGCCTCGGGTAGAACCTCAGCAGCACGGCCACTTTCGTCTGCAAGAGTGCCCTGGGTTTGGTAACCGGCGTTGCCCTCCTCCTCATCGTGGGCGTGAGAATGTCCGTGATCATGATCGTGCTCGTGCTCGCCGGGTCCGTGAGAGTGACCATGACCGCCGAGGACAAAGAAACCGACAAAGTTGGAGAACAGACCGGCAGAGCCAACAATAAGCATGAGCTTGGGGTTATTGATCTCGGGGGGCTCGATAAATCGGGTCAATGCTTCGAGGACGATGGAAACACAGAGGGCGATAAGGAAAACGGCGTTGAAAAAGGCACCAAGAATCTCAGCGCGAACCCACTAGAAGACAGTTAGATATGCGCGTGAACATCAAAGGGGGCGCGATGGTTTGGAAGACGTACGCCAAAGGTGAATTCGTCAGTGGAGGTCTTTTGTGCGGCTGACACAGCCCAAAGGCCGATAACCAACGAGATGATATCATTGAGCTGCGCAGAGTTAGCTGATACTCTATCCATCAATTCGCATGGAGCGCGAAACAGATGCGATTGACTGACCATGTGAAAAGCATCGGCCATGAGGGCCAGCGAGTGGGCAAGGAAGCCAGAGACAATCTCGACGAGGAAAAACAATGTGTCAATGGCTATCATCACCTTGATCCTGGTGCTCTTGGACCAAGCCATCTTTTGAAGAATACCCATGGCGAAGAAATGACAAGAGCACCAAAGAGGGCGCTAACTCTTGTCGTGGGAAAAGGATAATGAAAGTGAGGTTTTGTTGGTGTTGAAGATGAAGAAAAGAGCTCGGGAGCTGGAGGGGGAAGTAAAATGGCCGCGGGCTCCAGAAGGAGATTTCAGCGACTTTTAGGTTAGTTACGATGACGGAATGCGACAGTGGAGGCTGATCCCTAGACCAGGGATGAGATAGGAGCTGCAGACTGAGGCAAGCAAGGGCTGGTTACACAGATGTGAGAGATGTTTCTCAGGTATGTAAATCCCCGTGTCATACAGTACAACAGATTGTCACAGGAAAGAAAACATTGGGTTCGAAGCAACGAGACGAAGAAACTTCATGCCAAAGAGCTGATTAATTTTATTGCGTAGTTTGTCATTTAGTGGCAATTCAAAGGTTAAACGGCACGGCATTCGACGATCAAGACTAACATGGTGACAGAGCTTTTTCGGTCGCAGACGAGACATTATCAGCCTAGATCGGATTGGGATGTCGGTTCTCTGTTCTTTGAGTTAGTAGCGTAATTAGCGCACGCAGTTTCTGCTAAGAAACATTAGACAGGTGAGACAGGGCTGGAGCTATATCGTTAGTTAACAACGGCATGTCTTAGCTCAATGTAGACACCCGTTATCTAAAGCCAGCCAGTCCGTGAATCAGTCTCTACAGTGTCCCTAGCACCCAGTTCAGTGAGTTATCATAAACGTTACCACGTATAAGCTTAGTCCGACTACCTACGAGCAAAGTCTGAATACAATGGACTTCGAGTCCAAGATACTCGGTTCGGGGATGTATTCCAATAAAGTTCAATAGGAAGAGTCCGGTCAGCCGGTTCGGCAACAAAGCCGTTCGCCACTGGGGCTGACTCCGACTTCGGTAAATGGATAGCTCCATCCAATCCACTTCACTTAGACAAATGCATCCCTTGATATGGAGAAACACTTGTAAACTAGAAACATGGGAAGTTTCTATAACCCTTTTCTTAGTAGTCGACTATTTTGAGACCTCCGACAGATGTTTGATGTTGTCGCAATTAGATTGTGTAATCCGACGCTATAGTACCAACCTGCTAACCTCCACTCATAGCAAGTATCTTATGTATTTACCAGGCTATTTTCCTGCCTCTCACAAGGAGAAAAAAAGTCCAGCTTAAGTTCCCTATCTAAGCGTTCTCTTTAGATAAGCATCCATCGAATCGTGGGGCTGCGGGTTTCGACCGTCTTTACCGCAGCTCAGTTATTTGAGCCCCAGTTGATATTGCAAAAATCCCCGGGACGGTTACAGCTCTTCCGAGAGACAACTGTCGAACCACATATCGTGGCTGCACGGTAGGTAACTGGTTCACTCGGCTGTTTTGCGCATCTTTATCGTTCTGTGTCTCCTTGCATTACCGTTGTCTTTGACCCAACCCTGCAGTCAGCCTTAGTTTTTCAGCTTTTCTAGCACATACCAACTATCGAAAGGGGCACACCTAGCATGGTTGCGCCCAAAGCCACAATACGACGAATACGAGCCGTGCTGCAAGGCGTACACTCCAGACTGATAGTATTTCTATAGGGGTATCATGATGAAAAAAAAAAAATCTCTTATTCGGTCTGGTGGATAAGCTTTCCTTAGGACAATAATTTTCGTTCGGCTGATTTGTTAGGACATTCCTTAACTTGCTTTTATGACCACTAATAGGACTTGCCCTTTGATACTGTGCATTGCTAAATGAATAAAAAGGAATGACGGATTGCCAAATTAGTGATACGACCAGTTAGGATTTACAAGGGCCATATGCTCAAATATAATCAGATACTTTAGAGAATTACATGCTCTGTGTCTGATCTGCCTCAAGCAATTTTATATTGTAAGGTGGGAACTGTAGGGTATGGTAGCTGTAGATAGAACTGCCTGTCGAGGCTTTCACCACGTCAGTTGGTGGAGCTGACGATATTTAGCGCCTTTTACGGCCCGCACCCGAACCCGTACCCGTCTTTAACAAGCGCCGGGCGCCTCCTGATGCATAAAGAATGCATTAGGTTGTTATTCATCCCGTTCTCGCATTGTGAATATATCTGACTGCCTGTATCTGAGAATATGGAAACAAAATACCAGTGAGATCAGGCAGGCAGTATGGGAGGCCTAATATGGTACGTTACGTGAAACATTACAAGGCATCCACCCATCTCAACTCATGTGCTGCGGTTTGCCGCCTATCTTTATGCGGCCACTACTTTACACGCCTTTCAACCCCGGATAGCGACATGGGTAGTCAAAGAGAAGTATATTGGTTGGTCGGCTCTTGCAAACGATATGATTCTAGCGGCCCCCGAGTGTCCCACAGAGCCATGAAACTTGTTGGTTGTGAGCTTCATGATGGAGGCAGTGCTCTTGTCTGTTGGGCTCTTAACCTCTCGTCCACCCTTTAGAAGCTCGTAGTTTTTCCATATTCTCATTGTCGTTGTATATTATTTCTTTATCCATTATTTTGGCTGTTGGCTTATACCACAAGTGCTCATCGCCTGAGTCGTAACCGAGGATGGAGGCCGCTGCAAGCATTATTGCATTTGTCCAAATCTCGACAGAAATTGGAAAATGTGTAATCAAGACGAAGAAGCTGTGGGATCAAGCCCAAGATCTACCCCAGGAAACACAGCTTCTTATTACACGTCTACAAGGCTATAAAGCTATATTCGAAGCCCTAGATCAACAATATCCGAACCAGGAATCTTTCAACACGCTACCTACGTTTTCGCTGGTGCAAGATAACTTAAGAGCTTCAATGGAGGCGCTCGAGTTGCTTAGACACAACGCAGACTATGTAACCTCGAAACTTGAAGTCAAGACTGGGCTCAAGCGGAAGCTGGCTGCTGTGAAGATTGCCATTGGAAAGGAAAGCTCAGATCGACTCACCAACAGACTGAACGAGTCAATAACATTACTGAGCTTAGCGCTACAGGCTTGGAATATGTAAGCCTTGACATGATGGCCTAATCATGAATCTACTTGCCCAGTAGGAACTAATGCATATTCGCTAAGGACCATCACGATAATGACACCTGATCTCATTGCAACTCAACTCACCAAAACACTCAAGGACCATTGTGAAAGCTCTCATTTTGGGAAGAAACCACTGATCGAAGCCCAAAAGGAAGATAAATCTCACTGCGGCGTCATAGAGATTGACGAAGGTCAACTATCACGTATACCGAAACACGATGCAAAGCTCAACAAGATATATACCCCTTCAAAACTTGGCCGATTCGCCATGGCATATGCTACGACCACTGGTGCGTGGCAAGCGTATCTTCAATTGCCAAGTTGGCTTTCATCGTCTGTACATGAACTACAATCGACTCCAACTGGCTGCGGTTGGACATACAACTATCGAGTGTACAACGTCGTTTCATCAGAATCTGATATCATCAAGAGGATAAGAGAAGGAGATAGGGCTGGTGTTCTTGAACTATTCGGAACCCGGAAAGCATCTCCATTCGACAAAGATGAGTCTGGGCACTCGCTTCTTTATGTATGGCACTACCACTGAGCAGCGTTGGGATTGGCCACTAATTCGGCTTATAGTACGCTGCGAATAGCAAAAACTTCGATATCTGTCAGTTGCTGCTTAGCTTGGGGCTTCATGAAGCTTTGCTTGAGAAAGTTCACCGAGCTGGAGAGTAAGTTTAAAATAATAGTAAAGCGATAAGCCCTGACATGCTCTCAGGAGTCCATTGGCGCCGCCAGTGTTCAATCCCAATCGAAGTCACCCAGAGAAGACATGGCTAAAGATTGCAGGCTTATTTCAATCATACATGGATGAGCCAGAGACCAGCATGGTCCTGCGTATGTTTGATTATCATAGAGAATGCGATTACGGCGACGAGTACATTAGAATCTTCCAGCAAAGATTCTTGCCCAACTTCTACCATGGCCCGCTCATTCATCGCCTGGAAGCTTTCCGGCTTGGATCTTTTCATTGCCAAACTTCAACAACACTCTCCTCCCTCATCGCACGAGATAGGAAGATCAGCAGCTTCGACGTTAGCGAATCAAGTCGCACTGGGGTTTCACTCGTGCACTCAGCAGCTGTGGCATTCGGCATTCGGTTCGCAGACGATGTCCTTCCGTGGGTAAGAGGCTGGGCCATGTGGAGTTTATCGCCCTTTAACGATGGATGGAGTCACTTGGTGCTCGAGGTAGCCTCAGTTGCTGGACCGGAAGATTTACACGCAGTTGAGACAGTACAGCCCTGGGACGTATATCAGGTTCCGACTTGGAAAGGCACACCCCTGATTTCAGTTATTGGCGGAGCTCTTTGCTATCTCTCGCCTGATATCGAATTCTTTCACTGGGATAAAGTGTTCCAAAGTTGCATCCGGGAGTGGGTTTCAATCTTGCAGCAGAGCGGAGTTGACCTGATGCTCTATGGAGAACAAGAAGCCATCAATATTAGCAAATACTTTCGCACAGCATTCGATTCGAACGCAATCGAGGCATCGAGGAACGAAATACGGAACGTCCTGCCGTCATCGAGCGCGGAACTTACATTTAGACGAGCAGAGCGCTCCGATCGAAAGATGTGGAACAACAACCATTGGATACCGATTCGACTTTTAGAACTCAAGTTTGGTCCGACCCCTAATGAATGGGAAATAGTTTGGGTGCCAGAATTTGAATGGATGGCGAATGAGTTCTGGCAGATGATAGAGAAAGAGAGCATCACAATGCCTGGGTCGTGGGTTGATGAATGAATATATTGGCTACTCATGATAAGCGATGCAAACAAAGAGCACAATTTACGATACTGCAGTTACGAATATACTAATAATTGTGGTTTATCTGGCTACCTACCGAATGACAATGCTTATTGTTTGTGTCGTGCAGCAACGACACGATAGAGATCCCAGCATTCTCATCAGTGCCTAAAGTCAGATGTCTCTAGAACGACAAACTCTTGTGTATTATTACCCAACCATTTTGAGGTCATGCCACGATGAGCAAGCACGGCGTGAGTACGCCTAAATGTGCTTGTACCCCGCTGCGTAAGGCGGGGCAAGAGGTAAGGTTATGACATACATGGATCTGTTCCTACCCAACTTATTTGATCCTCTATCTATCTGTATATCATACTTAGTTCTGCTTAATAAACCCTCGTTTATCATCGCCAGAACTGTTCTTCTATTATAAAACCTCTTCATTCCAAAATGACGACTATCCGACCAGCAGAAAAGGCCGGTGAATGGTACGACAAGGACCCGGCAAAGTTACGCCTTGAGCTCCAGAGCTATCTAACGGCAGTTCCGGAGAGTTTGGATGGAGTTTCATTGCCCATTCCCGGAGCTCGTGTTGTAATCGCCCCGTGAGTTTACCTGCAAAGCGCATTGATATACTCTTAAGCTGACGATAATGTGCTGCAGCCATGCGGGATATCAATTCTCTGGGCCGTGTGCAGCTTGGGCTTACAAGACTCTTGACCTGAGCCATGCCAAGCGTGTCATCGTCCTTGGTCCATCTCACACTTACTATCTCGAGGGATGTGCAGCAACCACTTTTGAGAAGTATGCAACACCCTTTGGCGACTTAGAGATCGACCAGGAACTGGTCAGAGAGCTCGGGGATGCACTAGAAATGGAGACTATGCCCAAACACCGAGAGATTCAGGAACACTCCCTAGAGATGCATATGCCATATCTTTATCTCCGCTGCCAGGAGTCATTTGACTCGCCTGACAAGTTCCCTAAGATTGTGCCCGTGCTTGTAGGCAGAAACAACGGGAATGAGGAGAATGTTATAGGACGAGCTTTGCTGCCATACCTCAGAGACCCGGAGAACGCCTTTATCATCAGCTCCGATTTTTGTCATTGGGGCAAACATTTCGGCTACCTACCCTACTCACCCACGAAAAGTCCTTCTGATCTAACACAGTTGAGAAAGGAGGACCCCATACCCAACGGTCCCCCGATTCACGAGACGATTAGAGTCATCGATGAAGCAGCCATGGATGCCGTTGAGAGTGGCGTTCATGCAGAGTTTCTTGCCACTCTACGACAAACCCATAATTCGGTATGCGGGCGACACCCTATCGGAGTTATGATGGCGGCTTTGGAGCTGTTACGCAAACAGCCCGAGTATAAGGACAAGGGACGATTTAGCATTATTCAATATGACCGTAGCAACTTGGTCGAGAAACCGAGTGATTTCAGCGTCAGCTATGTGTCTGCATATGCTGTTCTTTGAGTATGGAATTCCAACATGTTGGCGTTTTGGTACAGTGGAACGATAGTCTTCGAAATCAGATCGAGTATCCAATGTTTGTGCTGGACTTCATGATCGGAAAGAAGTTGTACTGCCATTAGGTGGCACAAAAAGCGAAGAGAATGGGCCACTGTTAACAGATATGCAACCCAAATAACATGATATTGGTATGAACTCCAGTTCGCAAATGATACGAGAATTCAAAGTCATCGTTTGTTCAAGTAAGGTTCTCGGAATAAGCCTAGGGTAGAGTCCGTCGGAAACGGATTTGGAAAGTCTGTTGGCTTGTACTGCGCAACAAGTTTCTGCGGCTGAAAGATGAGATGTATGGCTGGAAGGGTGTCAAGTGTCCCGTCTTTTGAACGGCATAGTAAGACGAAGCATCCATTTGTTGGTGGAGCTGGCTAAGGGCATAAGCTACGGGCGGGAAATTACGAGGTGCATACAAATATCCTGGCTTCTCCTCTAATAAAAGAGTTACTTTTTCTCACTGCAAGGCTGATATAACCATTTCCGTGTTCAACTGTATACCAGACTGGACAAGAAGAGCAATGCTTTCTCGATCCGAAAATACCACGAATAACGAATAGCCTCCTTGGCAATGCCGCTCCAGACCCACGGGGCGAAGCTTAAGTTCATTGTTCGAGACCCCCTGGTCAAGGTCAATCTCGAAAAGGTGGGCGCCATTTTGCAGAGCTGAAGGGCTAGCGCAGGATCGCAGGGCTCACTCAGGTGGAGGAGGTGTTGTCAGCCTGCAGATGAACGGATTCAATTGCTTCAATTAGTGGATGATATCAGAGACTCTGTTTCTGGATCGGAGTTTGAAGCTTTTGGCGACAATGTCGGATAGCGCCGTGGTGGTGATGATCGCTGGAGACAAAGAGAGACTGGATATAAAACGCCAGACTTGTTACAGAATTCTCAGTCAGACTTTGAAGAAACCAGGATTAATGGATAACAGCCGCCCAAGGGTGAAACAGTGGAGAATATATCGCCAATGAACGATGCTATCGAGGGTCAGTGGTTATTTCGGGATTGCCCCTTGTTCAGGGGTGGTAGACAAAATAAGCCAACCAGATTGATTGTGCTTTCGGCTGTGACGTGTAGGCTTAAATCCGTCTTCTATTCTCCCTCTAAGCCAAAATCATGTTAAGCTCATTTATAGCTGGGTTGCTGCAGCTCTGGTGCCATTCCACCATAATCCAATTGAATAAGTGTCGCATGATTGACCAGGCTCTCAAAGTGTTTCTGGCTGTTGCAGCTCTGGTTTTGAGCACCTTTATCATCGCGTCGCGTACGGTTAAAGGGGCTGTTTTGAAGCTGATCATGACGATGCGAACCTTGGCACTCGGCCAAAACAACCAGAGAAAAAGAGTCTCTTACGTAGCCGTAGACACTAGAAGTCGCAACTGGAATCAGATTTGCATCTCTTATCCTGACTATTGGACCCTGCATCGCCATCCAAGAGAGCAAAGGGGCTTCCGCATACGGAGTAAGCAAGGTGCTTGTACGGAACAGGGCTAAGCTAAGGTAATCTCCAGCCCGCTAAAGGCAGTGAGCGGTGTCCAAGCGCCAGTAGTGCCTTAACCTCCACTCTTACCCCCAGGCCCGCTAACATTTCAGTGGCTAAGTGCTACTCTGCCACTGCCACTGCCACTGCCACTGCTACTCAATACCTCCACTAATCTCGTCTCGCACTTGGGCTCGCACTCCCATTCCTGGCTGGGGCCTTCCTTGCCATCTCCCGTCACGTCTCATTTGCACCTGGTCTTGCTTGATCCTATTTTTCTTACCTTAACTTTACACCCTCCCTCGTCTCACTCGACTCTCTTTTTACTTGCCGTCTTTTCCTTTTTTACCTTTTTCTATCTCGTTAGTAGGTTACGCACGTCTCGATCATTCTTCTCTTTGATCGTCTTATCCACGAGTCTTACTCCTTTCTCTTTGCTGCGCGACGAGAAATACTCACTCCAAACCTCTTCCTTGGCAACCCGACTCGATACGAAAGCGACGAGAGAAGAACATTTAATCAGAGACAATCCTTAAAAAACGACTAACCTCCGGTGAAAGGAGGTAAAATTTGTCGAAAACCAAACAGACAACACAGTAGAGCTCCAGCTCAATCACCACAATGAGTGTTAGTTTGCGCCTCCTATCCAACCCTCCTGTCGATCCCGCTCCAATCTTGAATGCTTCCCATGCGATGCGAATTGAGCTTGTAGCGCATCACGACCTGCTGTTTTCTCTCCTAATTGCCTGAACCTTTTTAATGAACAATTTGCTGACTTTTGTTATAGTACGGGTATGTTCTGCCTGAGTTGTTGCTTGTAACTTACTCGGTCCGCTTACTGACTCTCATGACAGATACGGTGGCCAAAATCCATACGACTCCCCTGACCAGGGCTATGGTGGTAACAATGGTTACGGCAATGGCGGCGGCTACAACAGCCCACCCGCTCAGGGTTATGGAGGTGAGATTTTGGACTCAAAGGATTGTTCCCTTCTACCACATACTGACATGGCTTGAGGGATAGGTAGCGTCGAGATGGCTCCCCTTGCCCACAACGCTGGCGGCTTTGGCCAAGGCGACCCCAACGCTATTCTCAATGAGTGCCGCGACATCGACCGTGGAATCGACACTGTCGAGCAGAACCTGGAACAGCTCCGTATGATCCAGCAGCGAACTCTTGACGACGCCGATACCTCAGGTTCCAGTGCCGCCAGTCGCCAGCTCGACTCACTTTCCGCTGATACCATGTCTCTCTACCGTGAGCTTACCGAGCGAGTCCGCACCGTCAAATCCAACCCTGAGGCGAAATCGCCAAAGAACAACCCTCACGTTACCCGCATTGACCGCCGTCTGAAGGCCGCCATCACCCAATACCAACAGGTCGAGTCGCAGTTCCGAAAACGCACCCAGGATCAGATGGCCCGCCAGTACCGCATTGTGCGCCCAGACGCCTCGGAGCAAGAGATTCAGGCTGCCGTTGAGGACACTACTGGAGGTCAGGTCTTTAGCCAAGCCATGATGCAAAGTGATCGCCAGGGTCGTGCCCGTGCTGCCCTGAGCGCTGTTCAAGACCGTCATCAGGCTCTCATCAAGATTGAGCAGCAAATGGTCGAGTTGGCTCAATTGTTCCAGGATATGGACACCCTCGTCGTTCAGCAAGAAGCTGCCGTTACTCAGATTGAGCAGAAGGGCGAGGAAGTCGTTGAGAACCTCGACAAGGGTAATGAGGAGATTGGTGTGGCCGTCAACACTGCCCGCAAGACACGCAAGAAGAAGTGGATCTGCTTGGGTATCTGTGGTACGTATTTGCAACCTCGACTTTATGCTAGACATCTCACTAACTTGTCCAGTTGCCATTATTGTGATTATTGTGATTATTGTTCTTATCTACATCTTTGTCATCAAGGGACAAAACAACAACGGTAACAAGAAGCGAAGTATCGAGGCAGCCATTGGCAGCTTGCCCGTTATGCACACAGCTGTCCTACCTGCTCGCCTAGCCCGTCGCGTTGCTGCCGACAACACAGCATCCTCTCTGCTGAACAGTGTTGGCGGAGGGCGATTCCATTTACCTCAGCTACCGCGGAACTAAGTTGGAATCGAACGATAAGAGAATGACTCGGAGGTGTATTGTTTTCGAATGACGATAAGGCGATACATGTACTCATCGAGGAATATATACGTGCTCCAGAGAAGTGGGCACGGATCGTGTGGAGGTAAAAGCAGTGTCAGAGCTGTATTTGTGTTTTGCGTATTCCCATTGGATTTGGATCATAACTGCTGCTATAGCCCGATAGCCCGTCTTTTTTCTTTTTGTTTATACAACCGGGTTTGAATCTGCCACTCTTCTGGCGTTGATTTCCTTTTCTCTTTGCATTAGTTCGAGGCGTTTATAGTATGAACTTTTAATCACATTTCGCTTCCTCACTTGTGTTGGTATCTTGTGATGTTTTGACTCAAATCAAACACTCAAATCGGTAGTTTACAATCTAACACGCTCGGAATCCATGCGTATCAAACAAACCTTATACGCCAAGCTGTATTTATTCATATTCAAAGGTGTCTGGTCCACCTGAAACCTTGATGACCCATATTCTTGCCGGGGTGTCTTTGTAGCTGCTGCCAGAACTTTAGTCTTATGGAATTGCAATCTGTAAGTGCGTTAGCATGATGCAGACGATAACAGTATGGAACTTACCACTGTTGACGGCACTTCGCCATCTTTCGACATAGAATCTCAAACTTGTTAAAGGAAAAGGAACTTCTCGACTGAGTTCCTATCAATCGTTCCCCGCTTTCGCCTTTCCTTTCCCCTTGTCCTCATCATAGTCTACCACCGCCTCATCGGGTGCACCACCCTCGTCTTCTTCTGCATCGTGAACGTCTTCATCCTGTCCTACTACCACACGCCTCTTTTCAGCCTCATCAACAACCTTCTTTAGCACTCCCATCCGTCTGCGGAATTCTTCGGCCAAGACATCGACATCCTCCCCTCCTATAGCACCACTGCCTGAGCTAGGTAGGGAGTCGGGTCGCATCTCAACAGGTTCGCGCTCGACACCTTCAACACGGAGCATTAAAGCGCCAGCGCCTCCGTTCTCTTCGCCCTCGCTCTGTTGGACAGCTACGCTTGAGTTTGTCACAGCGAAATCGGGCGTTAGACTGGCGGCCCAGGACACAGCCCATCGATTGGAATCGCCTTCGGGAGCTGGCGTGAGGTCTACCACGAGGGGTCGGTGCGACGGGTCTTGAGCACTGGTTGCGAGGATCGAAGGATCGTCGTCGGAGAAGACGTAGTGTACACGAGGATGCACAGTAGTATTTGTAGTTGAGTTGGTCAGGAGAGCGAATAATGGTTCGAAAGGAGGCATCGGGTTTTCGATAGCTTCGTTCTCTTCGTCTGGAGTTTGATTATGAGAAAACTCAAGATCCGGGCCTTGAACAGAAGCCGCCGTCGCAGCTTCCGGGGGAGACGGAACCCTATAGGTTCCAGACATCTTGGTAGAGTGTATGTATTGTCGGGCTTCTGTAGTGATGAGGAGACGATGTACACTCCCGGGGCATCTTTAATCGGCGATGATTTGTCTTTTGACACTGTCGTTTGTTCGTGCTAAGCTGCCGAGCTCTCTAGGCTGTAGAGTCGTAGGATGACGGAAGGAGCTCTTTATCTTATCAGCACGTGGGTACAGTTTAACATGTCCAACCAAGCACAAGCAAAGTACCTTAGCACTATCTTACCGACCTTGACTGGGCTTGGTATTAAATGATCTGATATAGAGACATCTATGTAATCACAGATCATGCAGCTAGTGATTGGACTTCAAGTGTTAGTAGATCAAGTTTGGTCATTGTTGTGATGTGCTTGTTGTAGCTCCAACGGTTTACCTGCAGGGGTAGCCCATCGTGACTTGACATGTGACTGACTTCAAAGAGACAACTCCAACCTCAAAACACCACCTCAGATTGGAATGTCTCCAAGAGTACGGCTCCTGACTCAGGACTTTCCTGCGGATCACAGCAGAGTTACATTGTATGGCTGCATGTCAATGCACTCTGACGTACATTGTTAGCCTCATGGTGACTTGTTATTGTCGCCCAACACGGTCTCTTTGGAGCCTGACTTCACACATATCACAGTCGACGTGATACGCACATGCCCTACCGCCTTTTTTTCATTGCTTCCTTGAATTAGTCTGACCTTTGGGTGACTATGGATAGAAAAAAGAGGGCCACCGTGCATGTCGGATCACGGTATAAGGTGATAAAAGGTCAAATGAATTGGGCAGTGAGTCATTAGCTTATGTTTGGGGACAGTCAAGCATCCAGTGCCTTTGTTCCCTGCCAAAAAAAACAAAAAAAAAAAAAAAAAAACGCCGGTCCTGTCTATTGTCTATCTATACTCCCATGATGGCATATCCTTGCCTCTATTTTTGACTCTTCCCAGAAGAACCCATTTTCCTAGCATACCTTCGTAATGTAAACGCTTTTCCACAAACCCAATAAAAAAAAGGTTGATTCGAAAATGACCAGATAACACCAGAATATGCCCATCTACTGAATAATGAAACGCCGTATCGCTCCCTATATGCAAAACGCAGGATGTGGTCAAACAAGGAGCGGTAAAGACTTTTCAGGAGGAATGAAGAGCGCGGAAGCCAGCCGCAACCAAGCTCCTAGACTTATCCTTGGAATCAGCTGGACCGTTCCAGTAAAAGAGACCCTGCAAAGACACCGTTAGCGATCCAGTGACGATATTCGGCAGTAAGTGGTGGGAACACGGTGGTCTTGCGTCCAAGACATGAATGCACGACACCATGACTCCCGCACCCACAGTTAGGCTACTCACCCCTAGTCCCTTTTGCTTACAGAAACCAGCCTTGATCTTGACAGTATCCGGGTTGTCGTACGTCACGAATCCGCCATCTGCCCCCGTGCAGTGTGCTGCAACATGGCGTTTGTCGACAACCTCTTTGCATCCCTTGCGTGGGAGTTGATTGTACTCAAACGTGCCATCTTCAGCACCACCAACGCCCTTGTATTTGTGTCCTGCTCCTGTACAGTGGAGGAAGCTTCGTCCAAAAGTTGGAATACCAAGTAGAATCTTCTTAGGGGGGAACCCCTTGGACATGAGATATGAAACCCCTGAAGAAGCTGATGTTTCTTCTTTGTCCATAGCATAGAGTTGAGCGTGATGTCCAGCCTTTGAAGTCCACGAGCCAAAGAAATCATAAGCCATCAAGTTGATAAAGTCCAAGTATTCGGCAATCTCCATTAAATCGAGGAATTGCAAAATAGACTTGGCTGCAGGAAGCGCAGCGGTGAGGACATAATGCTCCTCTGGTAGATGAATGCGGACAGCTGCCAGAAGTGCAAGAAAGTCATAGCCTTGCTGAACATCGCAAGGGTATTCCCATGCAACTTTGAATCATTTTGTTAGCTTCTTAATCAGAACTGAAAAATTGTTCATGCGCAACCTACTGTCGATTCCATCCAGACCAGATGCTTCAACAAGTCCCTTGGCGGATCTAGCAAAGTTGTCGCGTAGTAGAGTGCTGGATGCCACCAAAGGAAAAATCTCTGAGGAGTTACCGCCCCCGATTGACAAAACAACACGAAGGTGAGGGTGCTTCTGCTTGAGGTGCATGAGAGACCCTAGCCCGCCTTGTACACCATCAACAGGTGCACCAGCATCCGCCCACTCATCACTTAGCTAGATTCAGATTCTGAGTCAGTACCCCCGATTGCCGAGACGTTTGAAATAAGTCGTGAATAGAACTTACGAAAACACCACCGTCGGCTGAAACACTGGCGTAGGCATAGTAAACGTGGTTGATACAACTATAGTTGAGCATTCCTGGTGTATCTCCCTGGTATATCCGGTAGTTGGGAAAGTATACCGCATTTGTGAACATGACATTGGACATGCTCGAGGCAATCCGCGACTTGCGCGACGAGCTCATGATGAGTGATTTGAAAGATCAAGTGAATTCGAAAGGAAAGGTTCAAGACAAGCGCCAAAAATGAGTGAAAAATAAATATGGCCGTGAGTGTTGTTTAATAACCCGACCTGCAAGAGCCTAGATGAACTAACCGGTGGTCAAGATCTTGAAGGAAATAAGAGCTGATGTGTCGGTCAACAACGTTAGGCACCAGAGACTGCCGATGAGAGTCATGACTGACTGCGACAGAGAAGGATCAAGGCTATATAATACTCAACACCAGTCGCAGCCAGCTAATAGAGGGTCGGTCATCTAGGTGATGCCCGGAGAGCAGGGACTAGCATCCAAATTACGGAGGGTCCTGGATTCGGTAGAACCATGATACATGACATAATTGCGGGGAGGCATTGGAAGAAACACAAGAGCGTTGCTGGCTGTCAGAGCTGAGAAAGCTGTGGCTTCTTGGGAGACCGTGAAATTGCTCTCGTTTGTTGTTAGCCCGACTTTTCGATGCTTTGACCACGCCAATTCGGGCCTTGTTAAGAAGGTGTAATCTGTACCTCATGAAATGACGCCCAGTGATGGATGCTTGGCTTGGCAACCCAACTTCGAATGGAGTCGGAGATCCGGGGCGAGAATACTCTTTTCCTCTTCGAGCCCAGTCCGTAGAAGACCCTGAGCTGTTGGGGCCTGCCAGTAGATGTTCCCAACCATGAGATGAGCTTCCATTCTTGTTAGGGAAATGGCGATAATGAAGCATTGACGTTGCGGCCTCTCCGAACCATTAAATGGCCCTGCCATGATTTGCAAAGGTGAAACACGTTGACATACAGGCCCGCAAATGAGACACGTCTCCAATACCTAAAAACAGCATAGCGAGGCGTTGTCATGTTCTCAAGATGAGCGGCGATGCGTTCCGAGGTGTCATATGCCTCGGGCAAACAAAAGGCAATGCTGAACAGGGCTCGACTTCCAATCAGCCGTCGCAGGATCAAGGCGAGCTCGACGCTTTGCTTGAAAAGCAGCATTGTCCAAGGGATGAAACAGTCTCAGCCAGAAAGCACGCACGCAGCATTGTTCTTGATGTCGCAACGTCCATTTTGGCGACCGGGACAATCCAGGTACAGCATCTTTGGACGAGGGTTGTACAAGAAGCGCCGAGTCATAACACAACTTCCCGATAAGCGTGTCAAATAACCGTGCGGCTCCATGGATTCGCCCTGCCATCAAACTTCTGGAAGGTCGACGGACGTTTGGAACGCGCTACCGCGGATGGTGAGATTGGTTCCATAATAAAAACCGTCAGGGGACGACGATGAGATTTGGGCGCAATATTCAGTGGACCAAACACTTTGACTTCCACTGTTAGCTTGTCCTTGTCTGATACGGTTGAGCCAGGACCGGGTGCTAACCATCTCTAACAGTTAATCATTCTGATTGACAATTCCGAATGATTTTAGTCTTGCCAATGCATCAATCCCCAGCTTCGAGGCTGAGGTAAGCGTGACAACCTGAATCTGCCGTATGAATTGGTACCGTTGTAAGTCAAATTGAGACAAACATTGACTACCTGCGGGCTAGCAAACACTTACGTACAGCAGTGACAGTCTGGGGATTTGGAGTTGATAGCCTACCAGAATCCTTCCAGGTTGGGGATGAATGTTAGCGCCCGTTCTCAGAAGCCGTGCTCTAAAATTCATTGATGGTCGAATTTGACGACATATGTAGAGCCATGGACTCTGGAACTCCGGGTGTCCATATACTGTCAAATTCTATCGACCTGAGAAAGCGCCAGTAGGGCATCCCATAGACATGACTGGATTTCTGAGGGTTCTTTGGCTCGCCTTGCTTTGGGCATATCTGTATTACCTAATTGGGTCAGCTTCCGTTTCAACAACATCGCATGAGAGATGTTAGATTGACATGCCAACAATCCATGGTATTGATTGCTGATGTTAGACACGGTATTGAGTAGGCATATGAACTTTGTCCAAATATAGTATCAGGTTATGCAGGTCTGACTGCTTGGCACCTGAAATAGAGCCAAGAAACAGGTTTGTGTATGGATGAATCCTCATCGAAATGCATTGGCATATCTGGTGTGCCTTCTGACTAGTATTGTACGATACCCGAAAGGTAATACCCGGTGGCTAGTGTAGAAACATCAATGGCTGGCACAGAGACCTGTTAGTGAAGAGCGAAACGCAAGTGTTGGTCCACATGTGAGACCAAGTGATCAGCAACATGGTGGAGAGTTGGCGCGGAATCCTGCAAGGCTCCTCCGTACATGTATGTGGAAGGCAACCTCGCCCAGCAGTAAGCGACAAGAGACACACTCTGTACACCCATGTCGAATCCTAATTGATCAACCAATGTTAGATTTGAGATCTGTCAAACAATCGTGTTGGTCATTTTTTGCATCTTCAGTGAAGCCTAAATATCAGGACCACAATCAACTTCCTTTTCGAATGTCCATTGATGGAATGTAATATGACCAACTGACTTCAATTTTGTTTCAGTTTTAGGTTCATTGAGGGGGTTCTCTTGGCCTATCTTCGGCACGACGCCCCATAGGAAGCAAACAAACATAGTTGCCCCCCCTTTCTTCGCAATCCGGACCAACAGTCGAATCGCAGATTGTCGTTATGCGCCATCCGCATAGCTTATCACCAACAACTCGCACAAGTATGTAGGCTGTAGCGAAACTTACCACATGAGTTCCATCTCACCAATGTTACGAGGTGAAGCTCTTTGTCAGAAGGAGGGGTCATCACGGTAGCAAACGTGCAGATGACCTCCCGCATATATTGATAATCTTGAAGCCAGAAATGCTCATCCCTTGTGTACTTGGCCGGTTTCACAGAGATGATTGATGTGGCGCAACCGTAGTAGAGCATCCCAACAGATGATAAACAGTGCTGAGTCCCAATTCTGTATAGCTGTGTCGTCTTCCTTCCAACGTCTTTCTACAAGTTCACAATCAAGATGCCAGAGACTGATAGTCACTCTTTCTCTCTCATTTCCGAGCCGGGTATTGAGACAATATACACCCCAACGGACCAAGACACGGATGAGTATGAATTCGTGTTTGACGATTCTCGTTCTGAATGCTTGCAACGGGACGATGATTCAAGCTGTTGCACTTCATTAGCAGCCAGCATATTCGACTATGAGCACTCTCATGGCCGACGTTATCACGCCTATTTGGCTGGCAGATATCCGCTACCCAATGACGAAGGCGAGCAGTATCGCGAACTAGCTGAGCATTTCCTGATGCAGCAACTTCTGGTATGTCAAGATACTCGGGCAACGGTCAAAGTAAAGCAAAGGCTAACCATCTGGTTGATACAGAATGGTAAACTCTTTTTGTCCGAGGTTGGCAAAGATGCGAAGAAAATAATCGATCTCGGGACAGGAAATGGTGAGTGCCAAGGACACTTTTGGCTGTTTTGTACTGACAATCTGTAGGGGCATGGGTGATAGACGGTGAGCTAATCTGGAAATATCCCAGCTACCTTTCTAATAAGACCCAGTGGCCGATGAGTATGACAAGACGAGCGTGATAGGAACCGATCTATCACCTATTCAACCCAAATCAATGCCCCCAAATGCATCTATGTTTGTTGAAGACTGCGAGGATCCCTACTGGGCCAATGGTAAGGACTTTGATATGGTCCACCTCAGGGGAATGGTCGGGTTTCTTCTTGATCTGGACACAATGGTTGCTAATGCCCACGAGTGAGTGAAATGCCTGACAAGTAAGCCCGGCTAATAAAAGGAAGACACCTGAAGGAGGGCGGATGGATCGAGTTCCAAGATTTCGACTACACAGTTCGCTGCGATGATGGCACCATGCAGAAAGATGATCCCTTGCGAGTTTTCTTCGATACCTGCGCTCAGGGGATACGAAAATACGGCTATACCAACTTTGGTAAGAAAGACGTTCGAAAAACTCTCATAGCCGCCGGCTTCACTCGAGTTCAGGCGGTGAGTGAGAAAGTGCCCATCTCATGCTGGCCACAAGATGAAGGAATGAAAGATTTGGGGAAGTTGATGGAAGTCAACGTCTTGGATCTGATCGGTTCGATGGCTGTAAAGCCGTTGAATGCCTTAGGAATACCAGAAGAGAAGCGAAAAGAGATGGTATCTCAGGCTTGTATGAGCCTCAAGAATGATAAAGCTCATCGATATATGAACTGTCGTATCATTTATGGCCAGAAGAATGGGGACCAAGGCTCTGTGGCTAGCCTTGGTTTTGATTCGTGATTTCTCTCGATTTTTTGTGGTTGCTGAGGCGGAATGACTTTCATGATCAGCATTTGAGGATGGAAGACGAGGTTGAGGTTCAGGAGGCTCCTTCTGTGCTGTCGTATTGCCGAAAACACTTGCAATCGCGACAAGATCAGTTTACCAAGCTATAGCGCTTTCCTTTCTCTGTTTCCCTATTTGGCGGGGTATTAAACAGTTGCAATAACACAAGACTGTCTTATCGATCAAATAAGATTATAAGCATTCTGGCGCGTAATGATAGTGAAGTTGAAGTTTAAGCAAGCTCATGTGGAATGACGTTGGGTTAGCGGCGATCTGGTCGCTGACAAACCTCGGTCGCCGCACTGTACCTGCAGCTGTTGGAAAATGTTAGCTACCAAAGCTTTGACCTAAATCTTGACCTCGACATCAATAGACCAACTATCACAACGCGCGCAATAAGCAGCATCTACAACGACCGCACACGAAATAGTGAAAGAATATTGCTAGAAATAAAACAGCTGTTTCCTCCTCTGTAGGCGATCGGCCTGCACCATTCTCACGCATCATGCCCGGCGCCGTCGAATCTCCTGCCTCCGCCATCCTCAACCACTCTGCCACGCCCTACAACTTCCGCTTCTCGCCGTTCCTTCGACAAACCTACCAGGTCGGCTTGTCTCCCGATCGGCCAATATGCAAAGCCTTCCAGTCGGGCCACTGTCCCAACGGCACACGATGTCCTGAACGTCACGTCTCTGATTCCAAGACGTCACAGCCTAGTGGTGGTCTTAACTCGCTTGTGTGTAAGCATTGGCTGCGCGGCCTGTGCAAGAAGGGCGAGCATTGCGAGTTCCTTCACGAGTACAACCTTCGAAAGATGCCTGAGTGTAACTTCTTCATGCGAAACGGGTATTGCTCGAACGGAGACGAATGTCTATACCTTCACATCGATCCTCAAAGTCGACTACCACCCTGCCCTCACTACGATATGGGGTTCTGTCCCCTCGGGCCCAACTGTTCAAAGAAGCACGTGCGTAGGAAGCTCTGCGTGTTTTATCTAGCCGGTTTCTGTCCCGATGGACCTGAATGCAAGGAAGGCGCCCACCCCAAGTGGTCAAAGGATCTGGAGAAGCCAACCCTCAAATCAGAGGAGAAGAAGGACGAAGACATTCGAATGGATTCTGCGCAGGATGATATGGACAGGTCACGCGACCAACAGAGAGATAGAGATCGGGATGATGGGGGCAGACATAGAGGAGGTCATGGCGGTCATGGTGGTCGAGGAAAATGGCGAGGAAGAGGCCGTTACCGCGCGAGAGGTCACTAAACCACAATTTTTCCTTGTGTTGTACTTTTACTCAGTTGAAGATGATACCCACATGATATCCATGTCAAAAAGTTCATATAACTGTGATACATCAAAGCAATGGTCAAAAGCAAGGCAATTGGATTTGTATTTTTCCAACAGCCGCAGTATGAAAATCATTCAAGAGTTGGAGTCGTGACGGCGTCTATATGTAACAAAATCGAACGTTTTACATGTCCCATCATAATGCGTGTTATGCAGATCCTGCATCAGATATCCAGCATAAATTCTTATCATCGTCGATCAAGCGGTCTCAGATGCCTGGGGAGTCCACATGGCTCCCTCATTGTCAGCATGCCAGACGTTAGCCTCTGTTGGGACAGCGACAAATTCGCTTGATTCTCCTTCGCCCTTCTCGCTCTCGTCATCCTCGTCACTGCTTTCTGAACCTTCATAGGAGCTTGTCTTCCATGTGGAGAGCTCGTCAACCCGGCGGATGCCCATCATCCATGAGACGAGGCTTCGGGGGGCCCATCGTCCGACGAAGCCGTACACGCTGGCGCCGAGGCCAACTCGTACGGTGTCAGCAGTGATAGAGCCATCAATCACATCGAAAACAGAGTTGTGGAGGCGCCGAAGCGAGCTTCCCTTCAGTCCACGGATACGACCTCCGGAGATAGCAGAGCTAGTTTGTGCGACAAAGTTCCGAGCATACACGTGTCGGGCGCCCTCAGGCCAGACGAGAGGAGACTCAGGGTTTCCTGCAGTGACGAGGCCTTGGTTGGGACCGCCACGAGTAGGGACGAAACTGGAGAAGTCAAACGTGCCGAGCTGCATGTGGGTCACCGGAATATCGAGGGGTCTAAGTTCGGCGGTGAGGACTTCCGTGAAAGCGGACAGGGCCGAACACACGGTAGCCTCAGGCGCATGAAATGGAGGGTTGATGGAAGAAATGATGGAAGGAGTAAAGACAAGAACCTTGGGAGGAACCCATTTTTCTCCGATAGGGTTCAGGCGGGATGTGAGTAGTGGTAGGAAAGCCTGAATTGTAAGGATGGGCTGGAGGAGGTGGGTATTGAAAAGGTCGGCAAAGTTGGACGGTGGGATTGTTGCGATAGGAGATGTCTGGTAGTGGAGGCTCGGGATCAAGATAACGGATTTCAGAGTGAGCTGGTTGGGCTTCATGCCAGGGCCAGGAGCTTGAGGTGACTGAAGGAAATGGGCAAAATGTTCGATGGCAGAACCAGCATTAGGAGGCTATGGAAATGTCAGTACAATCACACCACGGCCCATATGGCAAACTCACGTCAGTGGTATCAATGCTCAGAGGTCGAATATCGGGCCGCTTCATAGCCTGAACCATGGACTCGTCTTCAGCGGCGTTGCAGACGATGAAGACAATGAATCCCCGTCTTTCCATGTCCAAGGACAAAGATCTTGTCAGAGGAAGAGATGGAGATCCGGCGATAACGACGACATCAGTTCGTCCGCCATTTCTTGCCCTCCTCGCTCGTCTTGTCTTTCTCATGGAGCGACTTTCATAGTATCCTTTATAAACAACGGTTCCGCAGGTCAAGACGATCATTCCAGTCAAAATTTTGTGCTCGGCAATCCAGTTTTGGAGCCTTTCGAAGCGTCCCAAGGAAACGACTGCCACCACTTCTTTCACCGCAGGCTTAGGCCTGACAGACTCTGGCACCCATTCCGAGGTGGACAGAGTCTCTCTGACGACTACAGCGGCGCGGTCGACATTCTTATCAATGAACTCGGAAGCAACGTCGGCGTATTGGCGAACTTGGCTCGAGAGCTACAGTACAATAAGTAAAATGTCTTGGAAATAAAGAGCCGCATGTCTTACCGTGTCCAACAGCTGCTGCGGATCGACCGACATGGTGGTGGTTGGTGAAAGAGAAAAGATTGTTACAGGCTCTTCTCATATGACGGTGACCTTCATGCTAGTGGAGAACTAAGGACAAAAGCTTCTGATACCCAACCTCTTTTCCGTGCACGGGCCATCCGATCTCCGCGCCGGAGCACGGGGCTTAGTCCTCCGATCGTAACCTACCCGAGGTCGGGTATCTAGACGAAGGTAGATCATACTAGGATTTGAAGGTCCTCATGAGTGAATCTGGTGAACCATGGCCTGCTTTGCATGGAACAGACACTATATCTTTGTTGGTTATGGAGTCTTTTCATAGGTTATTAGTCATGTAGTCAAGAAGCATCCTTATCAAGGCTTGTATTCATGTGTCTGTTGTCAGAATGCAGAAAGCAACAGTATGGATGTTCGTCATGTCACCATATACTTATCCAATTCGCCATAAGCTTTTACCTAATATTTGAGAAGAATTGCCCCAAGACTCATTCCAGGACGACAGATAAGATATATCATATACATAAGAATGCTATAGTTTATAAGTTTGTCTACTCTTACCATGAGAATTTGCACGAGAGAGGCTCTTTAGGAATAAGACAAAATTATAATATATAAAAGGTTGCTCCTCAGTGTTGGTGAGCAGAGCCAGGCATAATCCAGTTCGACATTTCGGATCGTGAACCTTTAGGCCAGCTCAACAACTTGATCTTGCAAATCTATCTAGTGGGCCTGCATGCCCAGTTGGCCTCGTTGAACCTCGACAGTGAATGCCGGGGTCATGAATGAACAGGTCTTGCCATGATTTTCGTTGGAACGAACCCTAAGATGAGCGTTCATCCAACCCAGGATAAAGTTTGTGGGCCAATACCTAAACTTACACAACTAGGATAAGACTAACATCAGAGCACATTCTAATTACGTCTTGTGATATCAATAAGCATACTTCCGTCTCCTATCTCATGCCTAGTGGTGGTGCATTGCCAGTATCAAATGGGAATACTGTAAGTAGTGATAAGCTCCACAGACTTCGGAGGTGCAACTCCTATCAAACTCCTTTGTACTAGTTATATGCAGTGTAACCATATGCAATTCGAAACAACAGTAGAGACAAAAGGTGAAAATAAGAGGTGTTCGTCAGCCCAGGCTAAAAGGCGATATTTCGTTCTCAAGGATGTAGTAATTCTTGACAACTCTTCATTTTCATCTTACAAGGTCTGTCCATCGTGCCTTTGAACAGTGTCCCACTTATTGGTGCTAATTCCCCAGACTGAAGACAGTAGAAGCGGAGTTGATGCGGGGATTTTGACCGGTTATCAGCGGGCCCTTCCATCACGAAGTTCACTACGGAGTTCATATCTTATTGTTCTGTCTCGTGATCATACTTTGTTCCCCTGTAACAGTTCTGCACAACTTAACTTGTCTCTTACACTCAAGATTCTACTTGTCTCTTGTTTGGTTCGTTCGAATACTTTACCGCAACTGATTGATTAATATTGCTTAAGGGATTGTGAGAAATATGGTACTCTTAGACTATCTGCAACATCGTCGAACTTGGTAGGTCTTCTTCGAGATTGTCGATATCTCTATATAATTCAAGAGCTCTTACTCAAATAACATGTATTACTAACACTATAGAAGCCAGTTCAAGCAAAAAGAACGGGCATCTCGCATCAAAAGACTTGCATCATACCATGCTCCTTTTACCGTCATAGATCGAGAGATTGTGAACAAGCCAATTGAAGAACTAGTCCAAGCTGTCCAAAAAGACTCAAGTAAAGCCTCAGACATTCTTCATACCTATGGTAAAGTTGCCCTCAGGGCACACGAAAGAACGAACTGCGTAACAGAAGTCCTGCTTTCTTCGGCTGAGCAATGGCTCACAGATGGGTCTCTCAACCTCAAAGGCCCTCTAGCTGGTATCCCTGTCAGCTTGAAGGATACAGTTGAAGTGGAAGGATACGATAGCACTGTGGGTATGAGCACACATGCTGGGAAGCCCCTTGCACATGATGGAAATACCGTCAGGATACTCAAAGACGCTGGGGCTGTTCCGTATGTCAAAACCAACATTCCCATCACACTCCTCAGTTTCGAGTCATCTAATGACATATGGGGCGAGACATCGAATCCCTACAACAAAAACTACACTGCCGGTGGTTCAACGGGAGGTGAAGGTGCCTTGCTGGCATTAGGAGGTCGAATTGGAATTGGAAGTGATGTTGCTGGGAGTGTTCGCTGCCCAGCTCACTTCTCTGGCTGCTATGCTCTCAAATGCTCAACAGGGAGATGGCTAAAGACAGGCGTGGTCACAAGCATGCCAGGACAGGATGGCGTTCCTGCAGTGTACAGTCCAATGGCGCGTACGCTCAACGACCTGACCTATTTCACTCGATCGATCATCCAGATGAAACCTTGGACTTACGACTATTCTTGTCACCCATTACCTTGGAGATTCGATATCGAGCAAGAGTTCTCTGAGAAGAAGAGCTTACGAGTGGGAATCCTTCGAACAGACGGTGTCGTGGATCCTAGTCCCGCTTGCCGAAGAGCATTGGAGATGACCGAATCTGCTCTCCGTGAGGCAGGCCATGAGATTGTGGAGATTGACCCTCCTTCTCCTTATGAAGCTTTATGTCTAGCTTCCATCCTTCTATGCAGCGACGGCCTCAAGACTGTCAAATCCTTCTTCCGTTGGGGTGAGTGGAACGACCGAGGTGCTGCCCAAATGAGCTTCTACTTCGGTCTTCCTCGACCTGTGAAGTACTTGCATTACCTTTGGGTTAAGTATGTTCGTGGAGATGCTATATGGGCTGGACTCTTGCGGAACTGGCATCCTCAATCTGGATACGAGATCTGGCAACTCAATGCCAAACGCGAACTTTATAAGAGGAAATGGTTTGAGTGGTGGGACAACTCTGGTGTTGACTGCTTGATCGCCCCTCCGAATGCTACTCCAGCTGTACCACATAGGGGCATGCATGATGCGTGTAGCAGCTGTGGCTACACCTTCATGTTCAACTTGGTACGTTCTTCGACAGCGGGAGCTAAGATCACAAAGCTGACCTGGGATAGCTCGACTATACCGCTGGCGTCTTGCCCGTGACGCATGTCGACAAGACCCGAGACCAATTGCCAGGAGACTTTAACCTCAATAGTCTCAATGGCGTTGCGCAGGGTGCATATAAATTGTATGATGCTAACGCCATGCATGGATTACCCGTAGGTGTTCAAGTAATTGGTCGTCGGTTAGAGGAGGAGAAGGTACTGGCAATTATGAAAAGAATCGAGGATGCCATGGGAGACAATACTTTTCCTTTGCTAGATATAGATTAGAACCAAATCCGTCAGACACGCCCTTCTGCTATTCTCTTTCCCATATAAACATCTGTTTATCTAGATACCACGCCCAAATCAGTTCAAATGCTATGGTATCAGACAACATGAACAGATTTGAATTTGCCCCCCTTTTTATGTTTCCTCCTCTTCTTTCAATGATCAAATACATCTTTCTCACCTACGTCGTCCTGTTACAACAAAGTCAATTTTGCCGAACTCGTCCACCACCGGCTCTTCACCAGCAAAACAAGTGTACTGTTGGTTAGCCCCATGCTCAATATCAAAGCCTTTGCTGCCCCATGCCTTCTCCATCTTTTCACGGAATTGAGTCTTGGGTTTGCCGGCCTGAATACGCTTCTTTTCGAAGAAAACATAGGCCGCATAGAAAGTGATATTGGTGTTGCCGTCGCGGACTCCCTTTCGGCCCATGAAGTACCGCATATTGGCCGGGGACACACTTTTTCCTTCGGGGAGGTTCTTGTTGAGAGCGCGGATGAAAGCTGCCTGAGTCATTCCCTCCTTGGCTAGTATAGGTCGAATCTTCTTGCGGATCTCGTCGCAGGTGTCGTATATGGGAACTGTTCCGTCCGCCTCACCAGGAAGGGGGTCAACGTTGCTCACATCAAGGGCTTCCTCAAGGGCCTTGGCGGAAGCTGCTGTCTTTGCTTTCTTAGGCTTGTTGGCCTTAAGGGGGAGCCCCTGAAGCTCACGCTTTTTGAAGAAGCGATGGGCTTTGATGTAAGTATCGGTGTTTTCGCCATCCCATGTGCCAGTTCGATTCATAAAGCTATTGTAGGATTTGCCACTGACTCCAATGGTTTTCTGAAACTCGCCAACTTTTTGAGCGCCTGAATCGATCCAGTTACGAATCTTACGACGAATGGCATTGCAAGTCTCTGAGTCATGAAGATCTAGGCGTTCATCTTCGCTGTCTATGTCCGGCACATTGTCTGGAAAAAGATCCTCTTGGGTGTTGTCGGGAGTAACATCAGACTTGCGCTTCCTAGAGCTGGTGGTTGTCGTAGCTGGAGCTGGAGCTGGAGACGGAATCGGGATTGGCGGTGCTCCAGAAGGCGTTCCTCTTGCCATAGGTGAGCTATTCGTAAGCGGAGGTGGACCGCCTGGTGCTTGAGCCCCGGATGTGTGTGGAACAAATGGTGGTGGTGGGTTGTAGTAGACAGGAGAAGTTGAGTTGTTGGGGATGGGACCAGGAACAGGAGGAGGCGCAGGGTTGTTGGAAACAGACAGAGGACCAGGCTTATTATAGACAGGCTGATGGTTATACACAGGCAGGGCTAGGTTTGGAGCAGGTGGATGACGCAGGTTGAGAGCTGGTATGCTTGGTAGGCTCTGGGGCGGAACATTAGGACGTGGTTGGCGATTTATCTCTGGCTGGCTCATTTGCAGCATGGCCTGTCTAGGCGACCAAGACCAACCTGACATCTCTTCTGGAGGGAAATTAAGTTGAGAACCGCGGAGGAAACTGCTGGAAGCTTTAAGATGTCAGCCAAGTCAAGGTAAAAAAAAACGGTAAAAGTGATGACTGCCGAACTATGACGTTTGTGTAGGTCTGCGCATCTTTACACGTCGAGCTTGGGCTTCCAGCTGAACGATAAGGTAATAAGCGGCGCGTGAATTTGGAGTGGGGGGCTACTACTTTAGGTACCCTGCTTATTCAGGAACCGGCACTGTCTTTTAGCGCCCTCACTGTACTCCTGGTCGTGCTGATACTCATTATTCCCGGTGATCTCACTAACATCCTATCCCGGGAGATATTAATTTAATTGAGTGGGCTATGGGGGCTTATGAATACTTGCCCAAAGTCAGTTCACCCATCCACCGTTTGAGCTGACATACTGACATCATACAGCTCACCATCCTGACAGGTGGGTTGGGTTGTCTCCGTATCTGCAACAATGTCTGAGAGACATTATACCAAACAATGTGGCACTTATTACAGAGACTGGACAGGGCGCGTAAGTTGACGTCAACAATATTAAGTTGTATCTTACTCACTGGGAAAAACAGCTGCACTAAAGCACTTGAAGGCGCAGTGAAATGTGCTTGGCGTCGTCGGAATGTGAGAGCGGAAATGGGTATCGAGTGCCAACTACGCGAATCACTTCACAGCTATGGCATGTTCACTGGTGTTGTCTACGACCCCAATGACCGGTACCCCGGTAGCCGCGCATTTCCCGGACATCAGGGACAATTTTTCGATGCTGAATCCCCCAAATGGTTCATTACCAATGTAAGTAAATAATGACACTCACTGATTCCCCATCTAACGTGTGCAGGGTGATGAACCCAAGACAGCTGATATCTTGTGCTACGACCTGCACCAGTACATCGTCAGCCCAGCGAATAGAATCAATGTACCGATTATGATATGCAGCTCGAGACACCATCCTGACTTTGCAGATGCTAGCTTTATGCATCATTGCACAGTCGAATCCGAGCCCCTTCCCAACGTACATGCCCTCGGTACCGCGATACTTGGGGGCCCCGACGGCAGCCAAAGTCGAGTACCAACTACGAGTGAGAAACAGCGGGGGGACGATGGAATTTTCTATTTACCTTGGGAACACTTGCTTCGGTTCCCGTATCATCCCCTTTGATTCCGAATAAGACCCGACAAGGGCTCAGGGGTGATACACATACATGATGAAATTGGGATGCTTACATGGAGGTTCATGATCAGAACTGTTGCAAATGCGCTTTAGACAGATATGTAGATTAAGTCTCCAAAACTGATATTGATAGATGCGAATAATAGTTAAACATGGAAATTACAAATGGCCTCTGTAGTTGAACAAGTTGTAATATGGCAATTATATTGTAATAGTTTAGTTAACTAGTATTAACTGGTAGAACGGTCACCGTCTTATTAATTAGTTGTCTAAACTTGAAAGATATCTTAGTATAAATACCACACTTACTCACATAATTCAATTATTAACCTTCCAACTTTTCAATCATCTATCCTTCACAGCTGAAAGTTTTGCGCGGTTGACCTCATCGTGCCGCCGTCGAGCCCGTCCTGCATCATCACCCCTTTGTGAACTGCTCAACACTGCGAGTTTATCTGCCACCACTAGCGCATATAAAACGACGCTCCTACTGCATTGTTTTATTCTCACTTTGTCCTCACTCAACTTGTTTTCTCTCTCTTAACTCCTCTCTGCCTTTCCTCCTTGCATCCAGCTTGACTTCTCAAAGGTAACTCGGCCTGAAGTCTGAACCACCAAGAGATTGGCCTCCGACCACCGACTCTCCAGCCTTGACCATCCACAAGTATACATCCAGTTGTTGTATTCCGTTTTTGGAATTTATTCTAATTACACAATAGAGATATGTAATGATATTAAAAAGCCTCGCATTTTTCCCACTACCTGTCTCCGAAACCACCGCAACTAGCACCGAAGCTTGACCAAAATCGACTGCCACGGTTGTCAGCAACGCGCAAAATGGACAAGCACAAAGGAAAGCCCTCTGATGCCCCAGAAGACAGAATGACGCGATTTGGGTCATCTGGAAAGGCGATATACGAGATTGCTCCGAAGCCCCCTGTCGCATCCCTTTGGCACAAGTTGAGATCGGACACAATGACTGTTGACGACTATTACACGATCCCCAAACGTGAACTCGAAAGATTTGCGGCTCTGTCTGGTGATAACACCGCCTCGCTGCTCTTAAAGGCCAAGAATAACCAGGAAACACTCGATGCAGGTGGCAAACTTGGTCCTGCACAGGGTGTTTTCAGCAATGAGGACGTACCCGATCTGATCTCCCAGGCAAGACAGAATGCGCAGAACGGCGAGATTGTCAATGGCAATGATACCATCACCAAACGTGACGGGAATTCGAATGAAGATACTCAGCAAGATGGCGGCAGCCAAAAGGAAGGGGACGAACAGGAAGATGCCAGTCTCGTCCGCTAAAATCAACCCGCGCAGAGGGGATTTGAATGCTTCGAGTATCTTGTCAACTCCGATTTCCTGCCATGGCTTCAGGATAGTGTCCAATCCAGTGATTTTGAGGTTTCTGGTCGGTACCCTGTCAGGGTCTGCCATCATGCACTGAAATTTGGGCAACCCGTTAGCATCATTCATTTACTGATCTGGAAGGTGACCGTGCAAGATGACTTACGACATGAGTAAACCACTCGTCTTTGGATAGATAATCGACGATGTGAAGTGATTCCTCATCCCAGTTCATATGAAGTCAATCTTTCTGCGGCGAGCTTCTCGGCTTTCGTTATTGGGGCTAGCGAGCCAGGGGTGTCTTCGTCAGGTGAAGAATCGACAATTGTAGATGATTTTCGATTTTTCCCAATTCTACTCTCTTGATATCGCATATCAAACATAAATATCCCATTATCGAATGCGTTGTCGATCATTGGGATGGGATTCGCCCGGCGCATTCGTGCATCATTCCGAGCATTTTTTCCGAATTCGCCAACTGTGCCGGTACAGTAGAGCAAGTTCCTCAAAGCAACGTCATTTGTATCCCGACGACTGGAAGACATTTCTCAAAACCTGATCAGATCAGAGAATATTCATTATAAGGCATAAACAACACTAACCAAGGGGAAGTAGGAGCCAATATTGACCAGAACTCCAAGTCTTGGGTTTAAGCCGTTTGCATATCGATCGTCTAGCCGTAAATGTCCGAGATATTGAATAAAAGAATTAAAAGAAAAAAAGAAAGGGAGAGAAATAACAATAGAAAGAAGAGAATGTAAGTAAATAAAGAATAGTTTATTTATTGCTTCTTGTGAAGACAAAGTGGGGCATCATGCTGTGAATAAGAGACTGCTTTACTTACCTTAGGTCTCAATAAATATCTCTCATCTAGCATTGACATTTTCTTTCTCTTTATTTTCTTTAATAACTCTGCCTTTGTTTTATAAAGCGATGTCGCCGCCGAAGTGCCACACTTACCAAGAGTACAAGTGATCGTCGCCGTCGAAATGCCACTATCACAGGGACCGACCTTGTCTATCTCGCCTGAGCTGTACTATGAGATTGCGCGATGGTGCGATCCTCAAACCATCAATTCATTGTCGAGAGTGTCTAAGGCCTGGAGAGTGCACTGTCTTGCCGTCGGCAAATTCAGAAAAGTGAGGTTTGAGGATACTCAGCGAGGTATTGATGGTGCTTTGAAAATCTTCAATCAGGGCCGAAGTGACCCTGTATTGAATTCAACGCGCCGACGCATAAAGCGGTTTTGACTTTATTATATTCTTACGAGTACTAGCTACTTATAAAAGGATTGCTGTTTTTACCGTTATAGACCGAGCCTACTCAATGCAAAACATTAGTCACTTGGTAGAAATGCCTTCTTTACACGACGCCCTCCAAGAACGCCTACCAATTCGCCTGGCTGATGCTCTTACACGGCTCGAAGGCATAATTCATTCGTCGCTAATGCTTGGAAACTTCGTCGACGGACAAGCCGATGAGTTTGCTGAGGGTATGAGCGTTCAACAGATCATCTGGCCACAGCTTCACTCACTACGCATCAAAGCGCCTAAGCAGGTCTTGAAGTCTGTCATCGAACATTGCGACCTCAACATTCTCAGATCCATTTCACTTTACGCATGGTACAACTCTGAAGAGTTCTTGGAACTAAAAAGGGTAAAAAGGTTGGACCGGCTTCGCTTACAGTACGAAAATGAAGAATGGGCGGCTGATCACGACTTCTATCCTTGTTGTTCCAAAGCCTTGTGGCGTGAACTTTGGACCCTATGGAAGGACACTCGAAAACGCCTCAAGGTGCTTATCCTGTTTGAAACGCCGAACAAATGTGCAGATAACTTACGCAGGTTGCAAAACGAAGCTCGCTACGTAAGTACAGTTAATTATTGTTACTAGCTCCATAGCGGAACTAACAATAAACCAGGAACAAACAGTCAAAAACATTCGCTTTGGTATTACCTGGATGAAGAGCCTGAACATTACTCCTCCTCCTCCTCCTCCTCCTCCTCTTTAACTCATACTCTTTCCGCTGCCAATCATCTAGATGGCTTACATTTCGCTGTCAATATATACCTACATATACCTACCTCAACAACTGAGTCCGAAGCTGGCATTTAAGACACCATACTTCATTACCTGCAACGCCCAGTCCATGAAAGCCATCCTTTGCAACTAACAACTATGTCACAAGAAAACAAGGATTGGGCGTTCACAGTGAAAGGGGTTGGTTATGATACTGGCAAGCCATTCAGGGTCCGAAACCAAGTCATTAAAGTGCGATGGGGTAATCGGGCGGATTCAAGAATGGCAACTAGCTCTTTGGACGACATGGATACCTCGACATCCAAAATCGGATTCAGCAAGGAGAATTAGACTATGATGAGCCTGAGAAGGCTAATATGTAAGAGATATCATTCAATGCATTGTTGATATTACTGATATTTTATTCAGTGATGATCTTGCCATTGTTGTTGGCGAATGTCTGCGGATCCCGTTTACAGGGCAGGAAATCAAGTCGAATTTAACAACACCATTAGTCCTACGGAAGTTCACAGAATTTGACAGCGAAATTCATCAGTATGTCGAAACTCAAGAGAGTGCTCTCGTTGTGAGGTGCCTTGAAGACAGCGTTACCAACTACTACATCCTCGGGAACAAACGGGATGGTCTATGCGAACCAAGATCTCTGAGATCAATCAAAATAGCTATCAAACACCTGGCTTTCTACTCAGAGTTTGCTACTGGATCATATATATCTGATCCAGAGCGTCAGAGGGACAGTTTTTGAGATGCAATCAATCAGTTCAGACAAGATTTCATTGACAGTCGAGGCCCACGAAAGGCGAAAAGAATATCGGATTTGCCTGCCACCGCAACCTGGCCACCACCGATGTCCATATTTGCATCATGCGAAGCAACACTGGCCAATGCAATATCTGCATATATACAAACTAAGGAACCGACAGTATTACACTCGGCTTTACGCGCAACACGGGAGGCTATCGGTTCTCTCCGTACGGAGAATAGTATCGACGTATCAAATGAAAACCATATGATCCAGATTCGGCGGCTTACAGAAGGAGTCATGACAGAAGTCGATGCCAGTAACTTCATCCACTCTTACAAGGTATATATCACATTCTGCCATAACCGTCTTACGCTTATACGATACAGTTTATTTCGCCGGATGCAGTCACCCCTTTTACGGAGAGCACTATTACACAGAAAGCAATTCTTCAGTTGAATGCTGGTATTGAAGCAGGGGCTCTTTCTCTAATTGAACCATGCCCGCCTGATATCGCTGATAGCCTGTACCGTGGCATCGTGGTTCACTTCTGCGAGACAGCTTCGATTTCAGATCTCGACTATGACCAATCAGCATTGCTAAGCGCTGTTGTACGTGCCTACAGAATGACAGAGGCCAGTGGAGTTTGTTTGCCTCCAAAGCCTTACTCAATTGGTTCCGTTGATGCGGGATTGCTCCAGACTGTTCTCGCAAGTGTCCGATTTGACGCCTACCAGCATATAAAAGATCTGGATGGATTTATCGGTTTCACGGAGAAGGAGTATGAGGGTGGCGTTGGCTTCAACATAACTGATAATCGCAGCCTTGTCCGCACAATCACAAACATTTGCGATACAAATGTTTCCGCCCAGAGCTGCAAATCTCTTCAACAAAGAATGGCACTTCAAAATCTGATTCCACTACAGTTATTGCGCAACGATTTTGAACGAAAATACCTACAATACTCCGACATATTGAAAGCTATCAACAAGCAGTCGGATAAAGACAGTGTATCAGGCACTTCATCTGAAAGCGAAGATGATGGTACTGGAGATTTCACCATGACAGACGGAGTCGATGATATGGAAATTGACGAGAGTGTTTCTACCAAATACAACACTAGCAATTAGGACTTTGGGAACACGACTGGCGATTTTATTTTTTCCTCATCTTTTGGTATGAAGTCACTGGGTTTGCAGAGGAGCTTATACTGGGACTTACAGGATTCATAATGGGGATTCAAATTAGACCATTTAAATACGGAAATGGGATGGTGCCTTGAAAATATTATAGTTAGATTTGCTATTATGGTGTTGTTAATATAATTGCTTTTATTTCAATTAAATATTCACAATTAGAATGATTCTTTCACATGCGAACTCAAGAGGTTTATACCACAGTGACTGAAAGAAAGCATTCAATTTAGTAGCTATAACTGTCTCCCATGACATTTCCATTTTGCAATGCATCGAAAGCGACCATCTCGCCAGCTATGTTTAACCTCTATGTATCAATTTGGCCGTCCAACTTCCATTCCATTAAACACCTCCAATAACTCCCTGCCATATTTCTCAAGTGTTGCCAGGAGTTTTCTGCTTCTTGGTAGGGGTTTCGGGGCAGCCCGTTTTCGTGTTGTGACCAAAATGCTCTTTCCGTTTGCTAGACTGTTCACCGGAGGCCTTCAATGATACTGGTGTCACAGGAAGATGTCCAGCAGCATGAACATACTTCCCATGTCCCTTCTTGTCGTTATCTGCATCTGTCAGGATTCGAAAGAGCCTAGCTGCCTTGGTTTTGTCCCCTGCCAACTCCTCCATCAACTTATCTGCAACACCAACGGTGACCGTGGCCTCCTGATCGCCCACACTTGCAGCGTTTTCGGCTTCATTGTCTGACAGCCCTTCCATCGAGTCATCTGCAACATCAACGGTGGCCGTATGCTCCTGATCGTCGACACTTGCAGCATCATTGGCGAGTTCTTTGCATTTTTTATGCTTGATTTTTTTTGGGTTGTTCAGGGATATCGAAAAGGAACGCGGAACGACAAGCACTTAGCGATCCGGCCAGAGAGCCATTCAAGTGGTTATGAGCATTGACGAATCGACAAGCCAAAACCTGGGCGTTTGAGGGAAGACGGCTCCGGAACCCTGTAGGTTCTGTGTCCTTGTGCCAGCAGTTAAAGAGTTTACTAAGTTTAAATAAAAATTATCCTAAGTTCTCCTAAACTATCCTAAATTATCCTAAATTGCCCTACTCTATCTAAAGCTATACTAAATTGTCCTAAACTTGTCTAAGCGTTTTTATCACTTAGGATCGAGGTCTTTATGTTGGAAGAGGTGCAGGTGAGCAGTTGCGAGTTTTGACAATGCGGAACATGGAATAACGCCATCAGCCCATCAAGCTCAGATAAACACAGCATGTCGAAAACATTGGAGGCTGCATGATCTTTTCGATCTGGCCTTGATACTGGTGGAGGGGTGGGAGCCATCAAGGTTGAATTGCAATCAACTTCAGACAAGGCGATGCTCTTAGTGCAGGACGGGAAAGTGGTGGCCAGAGGAAACAAGCGCCAAATCCATGGCACGCCTGGAACAACTACCAGGACTCCGTCATGACCCAGTACACTGGCCCGAGCGAGGCCAGGTCAGGAGCCGCACAACTAGTTGACTACGGACCTGATCAACTATTGAATAAGTCCTACAGCTCTGTCACGAACGCGTGAAAGACTACATCTGGCCTTGATTTGGGGTCTGTGATGGGCACTATCGGTGTGAGCCCCGAGCTGAATGACAGGGATAACGACGACGACGGCTTGACTAGGCCCCTATCAACTAGTAATATCCCATGAAGGCCAAAAGAATTGTTCCCGAAAAGCAAGAAGAGACCGAGGAGTGCGCCACGAAGCCCAAGGAGAAGGGCGATAACCCGAAAAATCTCAACATCGGGGCCGCGAACGAGACAATGGGTGGTGGTGGACGCCGTGACCGAGGCGGGTTGTTGGGCCTGTTAGTGTTTTGAAAAGGAGCCATCTCGGGCAGAATCCACGACCAAGGGCGTGTCATACCAGTCGGCGTGGTTAGCAGCTTGAACCAGATGGCGAACGACTCCCTGCTCTGTTATCATAGAGGAGCATGGGCGACGACAGCAAGCTCTCACATATGCATATATGGTGTATAGAGGACATAGATGTCAGATATGATCGATTATGGCGTGGTCTTGGATATAAATGAGGTCTGCAATATGATCATGGAGTTCAGCAGTAGCACGGTGATGAAGATGGGGGAGGCGTTTGCCTTTGTTGGGGGGCTGCCTGCGGCCATCGAGGATTTCTTACGAGAGAATGGTGCTCTGCGTCACATATTGAGGAGATGCAGTATATGTAACCATGGCGCCCAAGGCCTCGTCACCTGGTACGGGTAGAGGATGCTTGAGGGTCTGAAAATAGATCGATAGTATGGTTCTAGTTTCGCAATTAAAGAGGGACTTCAGTCGGTTCGAGAGAACTGACAGTCTGGGTTGGGGTGAAGAAAACATGTCAAGAGGAGACTCGGACAGAAGAGAGGTTGAGGTTAACAGGCCCTAAGAATTGGGAACGTACGAATGAGGCGCCCTTCACATTAGGTGCCTTGCTAAAAACATCGTCAGCCCAAGACATTCCTTACCGTTCTGCCTCTAAATGTGTTGACCTCACCAATATTAAGTTATATGCCCCCTATATACGATGATACCTACATATTTTGCTGTCGGGCTTGTAAGTTGAAGTTTGGCCAATTTTGTATCCAACTTTCTCCTAATGACTCACAATATCGGCCACTGTACACAAGGAGAGGCAGAGAAGTGGATTACAAGCACAATCCCAGAGCAGGAGTCCTGCATTTTGGGAGCTCCTCGACAAACCGGCTTCAGGAAGCGTGAGAAGTTGTCGAACAATAATTTAGGGAGAGATTTATATGCCGCCTTGACGCCATCAACTGGCGGATAGTGTAAGAGTTCATTGTACGAACAGACCTAATTCAAGTCAGTAGCTGATGTTGCTCCCACTAAATGAATCTGCATGTCCGAAACTGGAACTACAGAAGCTGCTTTAACAGTGAATGATGGTCGACGATAAAGAACGGAAGATTTTCGAATAATCTCAATGGGATGAGAATCGCATTGTGATGAGAGAAGGAGAACGCTTCGTCAATTCCTGATGCCTGCGGGCCTTCTTTACTCAATTGGATGACAGGCGCCAAGCAAGAATTATCCAAGAAAGGTTGGCGGTTGCTACTGAGTAACCATTTAACAGCAATCCACTTATAGTCTTCAAAATGAAATATCATTGCACGGTTCTGTGAAGATAGAAAGCCTTGGTGTCCACATCCTGTATGGGAGGGACCCGAACTACAACCTCGGTGGGTATTGTGCCGACTGCAGCTTCGGGACAACCGGAGCCGACGACAACAATCACAACCATCTGTAATCAACGAAACAACGAGAATGGTTTCAGCCTAAGTCTTAGGGTAATTTTCCTAAAGCTTGAGTAATATCTTCATAATTTTTCATAACTCTTAGACCAATATTCCTAAAGCTTATAGAAAAATGCTCATGACTATCCCCAGCCCCTTGGACATACAAAACAGGAGGATGGAAATGCAGCACCCAACTGAAGCTTCAACTCTTTTTCTTAAATCTTCTTGTCATTTAAACCGGTTTAGAACTCAAGGAAGGAATACTCGATGGGATATTGTTTGGGTATTTGCACAACTCAGAACACCAACTCCACAGACCATGAGATGAGAACGATTTATCAATTTTTGGCATTTCTTCGTCAAAGCCGTAAAACTAAATATGGAATCATGTACAAATTGATCACGCAGTTACAACGCCGCCCATATATCCTCCTTAAATGCCCAATCCGCTTTGCTTAGTACAGCTTAATGGCAACCGACTTGTTCTGTGTGTAGTTTGCCAACGCGGCCTCGCCCAATTCCCGACCAATTCCAGACTCCTTGTAGCCTCCGAAAGGAAGCTGATGGTGTAGCATGTTGTAGCAGTTGACCCAGACGGTACCGGCCTTCAATGCGTTGGAAACTCGGAGTGCTGTGTTGAGGTTCTTGGTGTGGACGGCGGCAGCAAGACCGTAGGCGGTGTCGTGGGCAAGGTCGATGACCTCCTTCTCGTCCTTGAACTTGGAAATGGCGCAGACAGGGCCAAAGATCTCCTCCTGCATGATCTTCATGTCGGGGCGAACGTTGGAGAAGATAGTGGGCTTGATGAAGTAACCCTTGTTGCCGAGGCGCTCACCACCAGTCTCAATGGTAGCACCCTCGTCCTTACCAGCCTTGATATAACCCATAATGCGGTCGTACTGAAGCTGAGAGACCTGGGGGCCCTGGAAGGTCTCCTCGTTGAAAGGGTCACCGACCTTGTTCTCCTCAGCTCGCTTCTTGAAAGCAGCCAGGAACTTGTCGTAAATGCCTTCTTGGACAAAGATACGGGTACCAGCACAGCAGCACTGGCCGTGGTTGTAGTAGATACCGAAGTTGACCCAGTCGATGGCCTCCTCAATGTCAGCATCCTCAAAGACGATGTTAGGAGACTTGCCACCAAGCTCAAGAGTGACCTTCTTGAGGTTAGAGGAAGCAGCAGCCTTCATGATCTGTCGGCCAATGACGGTGGAACCAGTGAATGCGATCTTGTCAACGTCCATGTGGGCGGAGAGGGCAGCACCGGCAGTCTTGCCGTAGCCAGAAACAAGGTTGAAAACACCAGCAGGGAAACCAGCCTGCTCGATGAACTGAGTGAAGACGAGAGCAGAGAGAGGAGTCTGCTCAGCAGTCTTCATGACAATAGTGTTACCAGTGGCCAGGGCAGGGCCAATCTTCCACGCCAGCATGAGAAGAGGGAAGTTCCAGGGGATGATCTGACCGCAGACACCAATCTGGATTGTATGTTAGTACCGAAACCTCGATGTGATTCAAGTCAGGGGTATCTTACGGGCTCAGATCGGGTGTAGTGGAACATGTCAGGGGCAATATCAATGGTCTTTCCCTCGATCTTGTCGGCCCAGCCACCATAGTATCGGAGGCAGCCAACAACGGCACCGACATCACCACGGGCGTTGGTGATGGACTTTCCGTTGTCGAGAGACTCAACAGCAGCGAGGAGATCGAGGTTCTTCTCAGCGAGGTCGGCAAGCTTGAGAAGGTAGTTGCCTCGAGCTTGAGGTGAGGTGTTCTTCCATTCACCATCGAAAGCCTTGCGGGCAGCAGTAACAGCCAAGTCGATATCCTTCTCAGTACCTTCACAGACGGAGGTGATGACCTCCTCAGTGGAGGGGTTAATGACCTCGAACTTCTGCTTGTCGACACCCTCGGTCCACTTGCCGTCGATGAAGCTAGATCGTATTAGTTTATGATAACTCAACAGAGTTCGATACTATAACTACTCACAGGCCAATGGGTTGCTGGTAGGTACCAGTAACAGGGGTGGAGAGCTCAACAGTGAGGGGAGCCATTGTGTATGATATATGAGATGTTGTAGAGGAGAGGGAGAGTACTGGGTATCAAATGAGGATGTCGATAGAAGAGAAGAGTGAAGAGGAGATGATGAGATGATCTGGAAAAGAGATTGGAAATATTGACGACGGGAAGGGAGTATTTATTCTTGAGAATGACGCGGGGTTTTTTGTGGAAGAATGGAAGTAGGGGACTAAGGGGGACGCCCATTGGGGTGCGATGCGCCGTATGTGTGAACCTCGGTGGAGTGGAGGAGGGGTGAAGTTCAAGTGACGCCAACTTTCCCCGCAACAGCCTCGCCTCTCACGCCTGAATGAACATGGATGCCCTGGTACGTACTTTTTTTTGCTACCTGAATAAGGAAATGTTATGGATTGCAATGGTTACCGCTCACACTGATACCGGCGGCGGACGGACGGCACCCTAGCTTTGCGGAGCATTGTCGTGGCGGTGGTGGACAAGATATGGTTAGCATGGTTAGTAGTCGAAACGTCACGTAAGTTGTCCTGTTAACATCAACTGCAGCTTTAGCCCAATCACATTACAGCAAAACCCGAAGGAAAGGACATTCTCCGAAGTGGTTTCGGAACGGCTCAAGGGCAGAGCTCTCCTCTAAGCCGGTACGAAGCAACCCCAGACCACGTTCATGTCAGGCAACATTTTGACTGAACCGCGGGGCAGAGCAGGGATGTTGAAGCAGTACTGTACTACGGAGAAAGGAGCTGTTACAATATCATCAGCGGACGTTACAGTACTACTTCAACGCGCCCTTGATCACTGGACCGATGAATTGTCCCTTGATAGACTACCAACTGCTTCAACGGATCTTGCTACTGGTTCTGTCATGGCCCGCAACCCTCTGCTTCCACAGCTCTCTGGACTCCCCGCCAACGTGGATGGATCTGACAGTTTCTGCAAATCACAACAGCCGGCAGAAACAAGGTCCAGACATGCCGCCACCACAGGCTCCAAGCTCTCCCCACATCCGAGCCACCAGTGGCCAATGGTGGGGTTGCAGGGGACTTTATGGGCCTTCGTGGAGGGGATCTGCGCCAAAGAGGACAAGCTTAAGAACACGAAATTCAACGTGAACAGAATTGTCAAAGCTCTGTATAGTAGATAAGCATACCTAAAGGTATGTCAAAGCTTGATTTATGAGTCAAGCAGCTCGATTGGCAGAGCGAGAGCTTCTGTTGCAACTGGATGACATGAATAGCCTCAAATCACCAGTATAAAGATTCATACCTCTGAATTGGGTGTCTCTCAAAACCGTCGATAGCCCTGACAAATCAATCTGGGCTATCAATGATGAATGCACAACCCCCGGAGCCGACACCAGGTACAAGTACACGCACTTGCAGTCCCTAGGTGGTAATGTGCCGCAATATGACAGGGTCTCATTGGGACATCAAACTTGATCCGCACATCAGTCTCCAGAGCTTGGACGGTTTCATCCTTGAGCGACAACTAACCATTCGGTGTGATTTGCTAATAATGCCGTATGTAGTAAAAAGACTATAATGCTAATAATAATCAATAATTTATCTTACTGGACAGACTTCATAATAAGATAAGCTTCATTGCAAACTCAACGGGGATATACATCGAACCGCAACTCGGATCCTTGTCAACCCCAACGTCTGGCTGCGTTAAGCAACACTCCCGATTCGGACTTGAGGCAATGTATTAGCGCCTGTCTATAGACGTACGTTTTCTGCATGTTCTTTCAGTCCATTCAAGGCCGCGGAGTTGCACAGGGTATCAATTATCCCTCAGCTCGATTTATTCAGCTTGCATGGCCAAGCGCTGTCTATGTGACAATACCCTTACTGTAGTCCTTGGGAGGATCATTCGACTATTCCTCAACATAAACGCCACTTGCACCGAGTATCAACAACATACTCACCTTCTAGGCCTCCTTTTATGGTTGTCATTGGTTCTGCAGGATTCGCAAGGAAACCGTTCCCTCCACAGCCAAAGCGAGCTGCAACATCGTGTAAGACGAGAGAAGCTGTTCAACTAAACATACATACTGGCATACATTTTTAATCTCCTAGTCAGTTCATTACTGGCTACCCTAATGTCGATTGTGAGTTGCGCTTCACGCTCCAGGGTCACACCCCACCTTGACGACCTTGCGGGATCTAGATATCCACGGGGTCCATTGATGTCCAAGCTTCGTTTGCTCGATGGCAGTGTTACCACCACTGGCACTAGCACTAGGTATCTTGCTGGGGCCGTGCTCAGTCAGATCTTCACATCTACAGTGCCATTCAATGTGGTTCCCCTTCCTAAACAAGACACTGTGACCTCACCTACCTCTTCGGTGTATCTTGTGCGAGACTCCCCAAACTCCACAGAGGAAACGCAGAATACATTAAAATTTTTCTAAAACTATGGACTCTCGCTGCTCGTTGCTAGGAGACCGAAGGAGAGTCCTGCGAAACGCTCGGCGTAAAGGTGAGCGAGCATTAAACTGACCCCGCACTAAGGTTCGAAGAAAGAGCTGACCCTCGTTCTTCACCATGTTTTGACAAGGTCATGAGTGGCTCTCCAATTCCTGGGGCAGCCGTTCATCCTAGTCCCGAGTACGCATTCCTAATTCTGTCTAGCTTTTCTCCCATGTACCACCCCCCGTGACGTTCCCTAAGGCCGACGAAACGTTGGAAAGCCTCGTGCAGTGTTTTTGGCTCGCGGACCCGCAGGTTTGCTGGTGGTCATTAGCAATTGCGGCTCCGCTGCGTCTCCGTCTCGCCGGCAAAGGCGGGGACGGCCCCACTCACCCTCCCCGCCTCCGATTCAACCTCTCCCCAAGCTACCAGGCTCAAATTCTAAGCGCTCTGAACTTTTTCCCCTTACGGCCAACTTTGAACATGGCCTAGCATGGCCACATGGGAAAGATGCGCCTCGTTCTTTATGATTTGCGGCTCATGGCAAACTTTCCAAGTACCATACGCCAACACTTCTGGATCAGTAGCCTTGCCCTTGAGGAGTGTTTATTTCACCTTCTCAGAGGCTAGCCACCTCTAAAGGTGATCCATCTATCAACAAAATTACTCTAATATGATATCTTCTCTTGAGAACCGCAAACTTACATAACCTTTCAGCCTTGCTCATCGCCTCCGCAAAACTGGTCCAACGGCAGTCCGGATGCACGCGGCATGACAGATCATATGCTCCCCACAAACGAGAGCCGCAATTGTTGAGATTGGAGACCACAGGATGCCATTGGAGACCCCAAGGCAGTGATAACTTGTTGAAACCCATCCGCCATCTTCAAAACTGCGGCATCGACGGATCCGCGACTTCATGCTTGCTTTTTACCCCGCCAGATCACTTGTCTTCTCCGTACATACCGTAGGTACGACTACCCCACAAACGGGGCCGCAGTCTTCTCCTCATCCCCGACTTCAGGGACTAGCTGGGTCGGCGGCGGCTCCGTTCTTTTCCTGGGGTGAGATTAGACGTGTCAAGCTAGATGTCTGCAGGTAGATCTGACCCCAGACTTGTGCTTACAATCGACATCAATATGGCAGGTGAATGTGGAGGAATGATAGGCTACAACGCCATGGACTGGGTTTGACAGGCATGTTCTATGGCCCGGCCCAATGTTAGTGGAACTTGATTTTTCTCTCAACATCTCATTTATTGAAACTATGGACTGATGTTGCTGGGGCCGTCGATGAGTCGACCGGCAGTGTTCGGGAGTTGCGAGACCCCGCATGCCCCAGATTCTCCAGATGGTAAGGCGTGAAGCTCTGTCATTATCCCTAAAAGTCCTGGCCTGCGTAGGCTTTCTTTCCCCCAGATGCTCTTGGTTTCGAGAGCCATAATGGTGCTATTCCTTTGATGGCAATTGGTGCATTACTTACTTCATTTCCAGCACCACTGCTGTCAGCATTCAGAACAGAGAGACCCTCGCTACCCTTCCTGTTCCGAAGGGACTTCCAAAATGCCAGGTTAAAAGAATAGGCTGTTTCTGATGCACCGACTTCTATACTATGAAAAATCTAGTATAACTTGCGTGGACTCCATCCAAGAGCAGCTGCCGTGCTCGAGGCAACTGGCAGCACTATGCTAGATACAATAGTTTTTCCCAATACTAATACTGAAAAAACACCAACTGTTTAGATATCTTCAACCAAGCAAAACGAGCAAATACGTGAGAGAACAAAAGCCCTTGTTTCCCGCTTTATCTGGCTTATAGCCTGTCCCTTATTTCTTCTTGGGCGTCCTGGCTACCAACTTTGACGTAACATAGGTTGCTCAGCTCGATCACCAAGTGGTGCGTTCGGCTAATATTTTTTCCAAAGTATATTGTCGGCGTTGGCAAAACATTTTTGGAACTCTTTTTGCCATGGGAGTGAGGCACCTGGTTGATTGCTGGTGGCCACGGGAAGCTGCAGTGCCAACATGGAAGGCGCTGATTCACAGCAAAGCCATAGGCGCTGGCTTCTTTTCGTAACACCAGGCAGGAGCCTTTCCTTCCCACACTCAGCCTGATCGCCTAATATTCACATTCTCTTCTCCCCAACTCCGCACATCAAGGAATTCAACGTGCAACATTTCGGCTTCCTATTTTTATTCCACTTCAACATGGCAGTATTGGACGAGGTTCCTCATGTCACTACACGTATTCGAGTGGCCGGGGAGCTCGCGACAGAATACGATCCCCTTGACGGTCAAGAGACCGTGGTCAGCCTTGACAAAGAAGGCTCCAAGATCCCTGCAAAAACTTGCTATATCGAGTCCAAGTCAGGTGCTGAGTTTGTCATCGACATCACGGTCTCTGACAAGTATCAATTTCCCTATTCCCACGACTCCTTTATCGCCCATGTTTACATCGATGGCCAGTGGATGACTGCTCGGCGTATCAAGACCCTCTTGTTTCCTGGCCGGCCAAGAACTGTGGCCATCTCATCTGCTGAGTTCTTAGCAGAAGAACAGAGGAGAGAAGCAGTGGTCAGCAAGTTTATCTTTGCCCCTGTCACGAAAACTTGTGAGTCTGTCTACCAATCAATCAGTCTCCACTAACAACGCTTACAGCCGATCACACGAGCGATGATAGGCTCAAGAGTGACATTAAACGTGCGGAAACCTTGGGGACAATCCATCTGCGCCTTGAAACAGGCCGATGCGAAGGAACAATGCACTGGGAACCACCTAGCTGGCACGGTGGACGAGAGGTCAAGTTGGCGGAAAAGGCGCTGAAAGGCAAGGCAATAAGCCATGCAACCTCGTATGTTATAGAACACCCGTTTATTGGATGAAAGATCTAACGCAGGTGCACAGATTGGCTGAAACGACGGAGAAACCCAGTACGTACTCATTAGACATTAGAGACAAGCGCCTGGTGGGGGAAATCTTCTTTCGTTACCGATCTTACCGTATGCTCTTTCACACATGCAAACATTTTATTCTGTAACACGGTTCACTAACTTTAAATGCAGAAGCCCTTCAACATGAGATGATTATTCCACGTACTCCGTCATCTAAGCCCTCAGCTACAACTAGCCTCGATGAAAATGAACTTTCTCACCTCTCTGAGAGGGACATTCGCCGTCTCGCTCTGGAAAGACTGCATGACACTCAGGTAAATCAACTATTTAAACTTGGAAAATTGCTCATATTTGAGACTCGGCTGGCCAAGCTATTTGCTGTCACTTTTTGGACCTCTTTTACTGACCTGATCCAGGTCAAGGATGAGTTTTCTCAGGTCAAACGGGAAGCAGAGGAAGACCCCCGTACGCCTCGACAATGGAAGTTTGTGAGACTGGAGGATGGGAAAGAGGCTGTCGATCTGACAGATGATTGATCTCAATATGGAAAACCTTTTCCTCGTCTTGCTAGCGGTCATGTTATATAGAGCCATTATGGTTTTGGCTTTCTGTTTTAAAGAAGGAGGTACTAAAATACACATGGATGGTCGGCGAACCCAGGGCGATCTTGTCATGTTAGACGGACAGTTTAGAAATGTTCATAATCTTTTGATTCGAGCACATACTCCGCTCTATTCTGTTGTCCCATGTAACATCAAACGCATTTGTCTTAACCTTTGTCTGTCGAGCTATCGTTTCTGGTTGGTTAGTGGAGCTCTGATGGCCGAGGCTTAGTGTAGTCCAAGCTTGTACCTGCAGCGTAAGCTGTGATTGGCTGCTATAGCTTGCTGCTAAGGCGCTAACGTGAACCTCCTCCATCTCCTTTCGCGGAATACCCCATGACGTTGCACTTAACTCCTCCCTCAATGACCAGCTCTTCACTTTTGCATCACTACTGTATCGTCGCCGTCCTTGGGTCCTCCACCGCCTCGAACTCGAACATGCCCACATATAGAAATGCTGCATTTGCCGTCTCATAGCCGCCTCCACTTACGCGCTTGTCGCTGAGCGGCCTCCTTACCCGCAATGGCTCCTGAAGCTCCCAGCAACATCCGCGTCTTCATACGCTGGCATGACCAGACTGTCTTCGCCGGCGAGGAAGTCAAATGTACAATTACTTTCAAGAATGCAGCACCGATACCAGGCCAGCCGAAACCACAGCCGCAACAGTCGGAACGAAGTCGACTGGCCTCGCCTTTGCATGGTCGCCCCAAGTTGAATCAAGGATTAACCCCACCGCCTTCAGCAACTTCGGGCAGAGGGCATCGTCGTTCTGCCCTTTCTTTAAGCGTTCCTGCATCGCAATCACATAGCCGTACTGGTTCAGTCCAATGGCCTTCATCGGCAGGCTCGAGTGATGGCCGTTCAAGCCACTCTCACAAGCGCTCTGTTTCCATTGTCTCGATAGGATCCAATAATACCGTGGAAGACCACACACAACGAAATGATTTCCCGCCGCGACCTCAAAGACCGCATCGAGGCCATGGGCGGGCCTCAAGTTTACAGATAATTCCTCGAGCGCAGGGCCAGCTCCCAACCGGGCCTCATTCCGGTTCGTCGCTTACTTAGTACCATCTGAACTAGGAACTAATTCTTCTCAGCATCCTTTTCTCCTCGTCTCTCGAGCTCTCCTTTGTTCCATGCATCATATCCCCCACCTGATCGATTCGGTCGCATATCTCGACCGCCAACAACTCCTCACACACCTATTACAGCCGGCCAACGAAGATCATCGCCGCAACAAATATCGTCGGAAAACCCAATGCCGGAATTTCGCTTTCCTGCCGCTCCCTCACCTGCTCGAGAAGTACCCCCAAGCTTATCTAGACGATCTACAAACGAAAACATGCTCAGCCCTAGGAACGCTGTGGGCGATTCCAGCGGACTGTCAATGCGCCTCAAGGACGGCGTTCCGACGATTAATGAGCAGCCTGCACCCGCGGCCCGCATTCTAGCAAGCAGCGGCGTCCTCGGAGGCACACCGCGGAGTAGTGGAGAGTTTTATTCTGTCAGCAATAACTCATCAGAAACTCTTGTATCGGAATACGTGACACAGCAGCCAACTAATCGTGGACACGCACGTCCACTTCGAAGAAGCCTTGGTATGCCAGCGCCACAGTCAAGAGCACCCGAATCTTTGATGATGGGATATGCTCAATTACATGGCTCTTTCTCGTTAGACGGGTCCCTTGTCAGTCTCAGCCAGTTTGACCAGGTCAAAAAGAAGGCCATAGTTGGCCAAGGTGGTGGCGGCGTCGTTGGGCTTGAGTCCAAGCGCGACAGCGGTCTTCTGGGGGGGTTTGGATGGGGTCGCATCAGCAGCTCTCTGGGCGATTTCTTAGGTGGAGGGGAGCTCAGCACAATCAAGGAGATGCGGGGGGTTGCCAACTCGAAATCTGTGCCTCTCTTGACTACGCCACAGTCTATCCTTTTTGTTGATCTGCAACTTGCACCAGGAGAAAGTAGAGTATTCGAGTACTCTTTTCGACTCCCCAAAGGTCTTCCTCCGTCCCATCGCGGAAAGGCCGTGAAAATTACATATAGCCTGGTTATTGGCACACAAAGGGCCGGAGGAACAAAGGAGCAGCAAGTGAAGTCTGTCGAAGTTCCTTTCCGCGTGTTGGGAAGCGTCAACAGCCACGGTGAGATATTGGGACATGACCTGATGAACCCTTACATCCTATTGCGGGATCAGGCCCAAGTGAAAAGTCCCTCGAACAGTGATAAGGGATCAAAAGCCAATGGCAACGGAGCCAAAGAACAACAAACTGCCCTGAATGACTTTTTATTTTATGTGGAAGACCTGGTACATCGACCACGAGACGAGAGTGGTAGTATTCTTCTTTCTCCGGGCGCTGGTAACTCCAGGCGACCATCGGCATTCGAGGAAGCCAGCACCGCACACGATGCTATTCATATGGCAATAATGAGAAGCAATATGACATCTGGTGGGCAACAGAGCCCGAATCGATTTGAAATTGCACGAAACGGGCAAAGGGTTGGTGTCGTGATGCTCACGAGGCCTGCCTACCGACTAGGGGAAGTCGTGACAATGGCCATCGACTTTACAGACGCCGATATTCCGTGTTACGCCGTACATACTACATTGGAAACGTCAGAGAAGGTGGACCCGTCTTTGGCAATAAGATCAGAGTCGAGCATCCACAGAGTGACACGGAAAGTTTATTCGTCTTCATCTGAAGCAACAATGTACTCACGACGAGTCACCTTCAAGCCAACGATCCCCATCACTGCAACTCCTGAGTTCGTTACCAGTGGTGTCAGCTTGGAATGGAAAATTCGTATCGAGTTTGTGGTGCCCTCCACAGGAAGTGATTCTCCCGATGAACACGAAAGACGAGCACCTCATCCATTGCTGGAGCAAATTTCACAAGATGAAAAGGGAGGGACGGTCCTGGTGGCAGTGGAAAATCTAATATGTGAGAGTTTTGAGATCGCCGTACCTCTACGTGTTTACGGCGCAGTTGGAACAGGACTAGAGCGTCTTGAGCGGGACGAGGCTTCTGAAGAAGGCCTTGCTGTATGATGAGAGTTGGATTGACCATAAATTTGGCACTGGGTGTTGGATATTTTACTATTGTGGAATCTGAAACAGCTCGGTTTATAAGACAAAGGAGCTTGTTGCAAAGAGAATCTTGGAGTTTATGTAACAGATCAAAAAGAGCGGGAGCACTGATAATTGAAGACATTAGCCTTTTTGGTAAGCTTGAGCCAATGGCCTTGGACAGATTGTCGTTGCGATAAATGGGTGTCCCAAGGGCTGTTTATGGGCTTTGGAGTTGATTAGTGAGTTAACAAAAAACAAACCGACTGCGCGTGATGACGACGCGCCCAAGTATTCAAGGCGGTTGCTGGAAGGGCATGGGATCAAATCGACATTTATGGTACCCTGTCAATGCTGGGGCTCTAAACCGAGATAAGAACGAGTGAGACAGATCAGAATTAACTGGCACAAACATCACAAGCCCAGAATAGCTGAAGTCAAGACTAAAGATACAGGGCTAATAGAACGGGATGGGGTTGGGTATATCCTCATTTCGCCAAGGACCAGGATTAAACAAGCGGGTGACGACTATAGACTATTAAGTAAGGCTGCTTACAGGGAAGAAAATTTCCTTGTAGAATTTGCTTCTTTGATTTGTTTTGGTTTGGATACAGACGTGAATCTCTGGTGTGTTGTTGTTATTGATAATGGGTCAGCCGGTCGGTAATAGTGGCTGCTGGCTCGACAACGAGATGGAGTGCCGCGAGAACACAGAGAGAGCGAGAGAGATCATCATACAGCTCAAACTGATTTTTCTTTTCAAGTTGAAGGAGAAACGACTTTGTATAGTAGCTGAGAAATCACGATAACCGTGTAAACATGAGAGCTGGGAATGTATACAGGGATTTAACATCATTGTCACCAACAAAGACTCTAGGTTCAATATTTACCACCGTCCTGGCCTGAAGTGATTGTGAGGTGACAGCCACTAGCGGGAGGGCTAGGCGGCAAGGATCAGGCCGCCAAGAACCAGCCTGCTCAGACCATTGCCGATACCAAAGAACAGCCCGTGAAATAAACGTCAGGGACTTGTCTCTCATCAAAGCAACAAGGCCCCTAGACAACAAACAGACAAGGGTCCATGTAAACAACCCAGTAGAACAACTGTTAGGCGGCCACCGAGGACATGGAGTTTGGACTTGGTCTTTGATAGGTATGATTAGACTATGATATTGACGGGAAGGGAATGGCCTGGGGCTGGGTTGAATGAGAGTCATCAGCATTCCATCCCACAAGCTGGTGTGAGCCTTCTTTTTTCTTCCCTTCTCTCCTCACCAACCGCTTTCGTTGGGAGATCCAATGTCGCTATTATTTTTCATCTTCTTTGTCGCTCACTAACTAACTTTGCCAGTCATTGTAAGTTGCTAATTCGCTCTAAAGAGGTCACTATTCCACCCCCTCCGCTACAGCAACTGACGCCTTATCCGCAGCCTTACATATTTCCATCTCTTGCTTCCTGAATCTTGTTGCCATTAGCCCCCGCAGGCCCGCAGCAGCTTCCCGACTTACACCGCCCGCCATCCACTTTTGCAAACATCATCTTGCTTCTATTACTCTTTTGTTCGTGAGCAATGAGAATTGGCTGTTCATTCCTTAGTTCTACTGTTTCTCTTTTATCAAAAAGGAGAACTTTTCGGTGTTCTCGTCGCTCTTTCAAGTCTCGGTGTTTGCGCTTCTGAAACTAGCACCACTTCTTAATACTTCACCATTACACCATCTGAACCCACACTCGACAATCTTCTCGACGACAAACCCACCAAAACAGCATTATCAAGTGTCAATGGAGGAAATATGGCTGCGACACCTTCTAACGGTCGTTTAAAACTCACTCCTTCCAACTCTCCCTTTCTGGCTCGCCCTTCTCGATCTTCTAGGTCGCCCATGCGTGGTCGCGCACACGATGCCTCGAAGCTTTCCCTCCAGCGTGTCATCGGCACAACTT